ATTTCCTGTCTGTGCTTTGTTGGCCTATTTTCGACTCCTTTTGACAAAATTCCGGACTTATTTTGAAGACTTGTGACCAAGAACCACAGAATAAGGTATTTATAGCAAGTTTTTGTGTATACCACGCCCAAAATTTGCTGGCTAACGGTGTATATGAGGCACAAATGCTTTGTAGTCTGCAACAGGAAACGCATCCCAAGATGTCGACTGATTTCCGGCCTAGAAGGCGCGGAGTTTGTTTGGTTGAGAATCTGCCTGATCTTCTCATCGTGTAACGTTATCATCAGGGAGGGAGAAGGATAGAGCTAACTGATAACCTGGCTGTACCCGACGTCCAAGCACCGAGACTTGCGTAGTCTATGTATGACGCGACAGTACTCGATCTCGATAAACTGCTGATATCCAAGCAGATGTTGTGGTTTGAGATCGTAAAATTGAAGGTTTTCTGACTGTCAAATACTATTGGGGGTGGGTGGCAGTGGTGAGGGTCAGCCAGAGAAGCCAAGTAGTCAGAAAATGTTACAACAGGATGTTGATGGCCTATAGATAACTGAGGTTAAGGTTAAGTAAACTATGTGGTAGATATAACGTGTTGGGAAACATGGGATATGAGTAAGATATGAACGTTATATAGCCAGCAACTTTCCAGAACTGTCATCATCTTGGGATGTGTACCTTTAAAGTAAGAGTAGTAACATGTACATCCGGTACAGGCAGAGATGTAGGTGCAGGTCCAGACTTGTACCTATAACTTAACAATATGACACCTATGAATGGGGCTCGACCTGCATAATTTCCCTTTTTCATAACGATAAGGTATAATCAATCTTTGTAAACTTGTAGGCACTAGGCAGTCACCCAAAATCAACGTAATTCAAGTGTGAGCATTATTCAACATAATTCGTAATCAGCTCTAAGAATTAAACATAATTTGTACCAGTAGGCAGCAGCAAAAAAATTGGCATAATTCATAATTTACTACCCCCCCCTCCATGCAGATCCTCCTGTGTGTGGGTGTGTGTTGGGGGTGGGGTGATTTCAATTACAAAATTATTTTAACTGCAGCCTTCAAATACCACAAAAATCCCTTTTCTATGATCATGCCACAAGATGTTGTTACAATGTACATCTTACATTGAACTCCTTGAAGAATGTTGGTGACATTTTCATTGTTGTGCAGTACAGTGGTGAAGCCCAGGATGTCCAAACGTGTGACGGAAGAGATTGTCATTGTGGAGGGAGGAGAGGAGAAGAGGATGAGAGTGGAGGATGGGTGAGTTTATTCTGGTGCTTCCATGAAGAGCAGCATTCTAGCTAGCATATTTTGAGTATAATTAAGGGTCTTCAAACCTATGCTGTGACTTGGACTCCATTATCCATATGCTGTAATTTATGTCCCTTCGTATCCTGTGATTTAGGCCCCTATGCTGTCTTTCAATCAGTTCATGGGTGTTCATTGCCTTCATAAACCTTTTGAAAAAAAAATCAACTTAAAATTTGTCCCTCAAAGATGCAGAAAATACTGTCTCGGGATTATGAATTGAGATTCGCGAATGAGAAAATTTGTGAGGTGGTTGCTGCATCCCTACAATAGTATTGTTGTTCGTCCACCGTTGTCGACGATGACCAATGACAATAGTATATGTTCACTAAAGCCAACCTGTTGGGCTCACAGCAATTGGCATTAAAAATCAAGGTCAGGGGTTACCGTATGCAGGTGATACATACTTTGCCAATTTTTTGTGTTTGTGCTCTGTATGGATACTTTTTTTGTGAAAACTATATAACTTAATGTTTGTGAAGACAAATATTAGTACCATCTGTATTTTCATTATGGTGTTCAACAGTTGGAAACGCATATGTGTAACTGTAAAGATTGAAGGCTAGCGTTTTTTTTCATCATACATATTCATGTGTTTGTTCCCTACCAGACTAATCTAAGCTGAAGACTCTTACAGAATATACATATTTATTACCAGTAGTCCAACAATATCACCAGGTGGTCATATACAGGTATTTTAAGTGGGACATGTGCAAATTTAGTTGTCATGTGTATTTGTATGTCTATTGTCTTTTAGCTACATGTACATTTAGTTCTATCTGCATGAACTGACCTGTAATGATATTGGACATATATAGATATTGCTGAGAGTGGATATAGTACACAATGTCAGCCATTTGTGTAGATTTTCCATAGTGGGTTGACACAGCTCTAGCAAATCTCGTAGGATGTGGAGAGATTAGACCTCTGATTCTGAAGTAAATAATTTTCATGTTTCATAATTTTTTTACTTGTGTGTGGTATTGAGTAGCTGCGTAGCTGCGTAGGTAGTAGACACAAGACAGAGATATCACTGACTAGATGTTGTGTCCTTGGGAAAAGCACTTTCCTTGCTCCTCCCAGGTGTAGAAAGGAAACCCGATTTTGTTAAATTGCAGTGGAAGCAGAGGAATGGGCTCTACCTGCTTGCCCTAGACGCTGTGGGTTAACAATCTACTGCCCTTACAGCCTCAAAAGCTATGAGACTTTTACCCTTACTTTTCCACATTCAAATAGACACTACTGTCAATCTTCTCAATCCTGTACATTATTATATACACACCAGGGAATAATACAAGCCTAACCTGCATGGCTGTCATAATTCAATTCAGTAGCCCTAAAATACGGAATGCTTTATTTTCCAGAAACGACGAGTCAGAGGAAGTTGTAACAGAGATGGCGTCCGCTGTGGCTGTCACAACGGTATCAGTCATCACCCAGGCGATCCACATCAACGAACCAATCGGCTCCCTGCGACAGCTTCTGGAGCCCAGGGTGCAGTCATCGCTAGAAAGCCACAACATCTACCTCCAAGATATACCTGTACGGAACACCTAACAATATTCAAAAATTACCATAGTCTCACAATATAGCTATGCACACTATAGTGTTATAAACCATGCTAACAAAGCTGAAAAATTCTGTCCAACACATGTAAAATCCCTTTTTGTTTTTGATGTGTGTCCGTAATACTTGCAACACAGTAATTTATGTAGGAAATATAATATACTATGTAGTGTTTGGATTTGCAGCTTTCCAAATTATAAGTATGGCTTATTGCCCCAAGGGCAATAAACATGTATTAATTTTGCCCCAAGGGAGTGATGTTTTTGTCTTATCTTTGTGTCTGTCTGTGTATATGTTTGTCTCAGCATGTTTCTGTGTATCTAATGTGTTTGTGTTTGCCAATATACACAATGAAGCAGTGTCACATCCTCACTGCTACTGTTTTTGTGTGTGGGAGTGTAAGGGTCATAAAGCAGTATGGGTAAGTGGGTGAAGTCTGCCATCTCTGTAAGTTGTCCTGTTTGTCCCCACAGCTGGACCCAGGACAGAGCCTGTTTGACCAGGGTGTGAAGACAGACGGTGTTGTCCAGCTGAGTGTCCAGATTGTGTCCAACACAGGTGGGGAGTATATGTCCAACCCAGGTGAACCTTTTCACACACAAGTCCAGCTCAGTGTCTACTGTCTGTCATAGAGTCTCAATCTTCTATCTGGAAATTAGAAAAAAAATTAATGAGTGATAATATATACAAAGCCTGTTACTTTGGGCAAACATTTATTGTATGTTACAAAGATAAAAAAGGACAAAAAATTAAAATTATTCTAAGGAATTATTACTATGGTAATGTTACTTTGCCAATAAGGCTCCAGTGATATCAATGTTCCAAACACATATGCTGCACAGCTTGGGCTGAATCACACTTTGAAAAACCATGTAATGTTATCAGAAACTGAGAGCATTGTATGGCCACAGTCTTACATGTCCTGTTTTTCCCCATTAGTTCTGGCAATCTAGGTATGTTATGCAGTGTCCAATGACTTATGTATACATATTGATTGTATCTCTGTTTACCATCCTGATATGTGGTAGTGTTTGCAAAACAAAGGAGCAAACTGCAGGTCAAATGAATATGTGGAAGAAATAGCTAAACGTACATGTTTGTTATAAACAAACCTATTGTAGGTCACGCAGCAACATGCATCCCCATATACCCCCCCCATACTGAGTATATTCTAGGGCTGTGTACGTTACACCTATATGTGTACCTGTAGAATTAAAGGCACAGGACTAGACCTGAATATTTGCTATACCTTTCCCTGAAAAATGAAACACCAGTGGCCCCCATTTCTTTACACTAAAGATAGGCAAATTGCATCTCAAAGATGACAATAATAAATTTCACTTGAGAATCAAGAAAACTGGACTGTCACAGCACTCTTGTATTCAGATTGAAATACATAAACCCTCCTACAAAATTTATCATGAAGAAAGACAGTTGGCTACATGTATAACTTACAGATGATTGACTAAACTTGATTAGGTACAGGTACCGTACAGGCCTGTGCACCTTTATCTGTAACACAGCTCTTAGTGTCTCCCTGTGTACACATACATAACTGTAAAGATGTTTCAGTGAACAGTTGTCCTGTTGTAGGAGAGGAGGCTCGCCTGAACATTCTGGAGGTGGTGAAACCTATCCAGGAGACCATAGAACTGGCTGTACCACTGGAGGAAGCACATCAGGAGCAGGGTAAGGCTCAGGAAAATCAATGCCATGTTTCCAATTATGGCCCTGAAAAAGTAGGGTCGGTATGTAGGGATTCTCTCTTTTTTATACAGTTCAAGTGAAGTGATCTAACAGAATCTGATACAGTTAACAAATGTAAAACTAAAATACAGGATACTATGCTCAACATCATATTATAATTATACATTGTACAAGCACAAGTCAGTAAACTGAACAAAGAAGTTTAATGTTTTGGATATTCCCCAGTTATGGCATCATTGCTTTCAATAATACAAAAAACTATTTTTGGCTTGTCTGAGTGTGTTTCTGTGATTCCTATTAATGTCCACAGTGCTACTACCTTTGTGGGACTGGAAGTGTTGCAAACCAGTAAGGGTAAGGGTCAAAGTTGATGTATATATGTCTCCCCCAGTTGTGGCGGCGGTGTCCGATATCGGTACAGAAGTGGTGACAACGGAGGAGACAGAGACGACGCGGGAGCTGGAGCTGGCCACCGTGATGACGGTCTCCCCGGACGTCGCCTCACAGATCCACGCCGGGGACGCGGCGGCGCGCACCATGGTCCCACTGTCGGAGGAGTCGGACCACGTCACCAGATGGGCCGTCTGTCAGAACTTCAGGAAGGAGCAGGAGATCAAGGGCATTCCTCTGGGTAGGAGTCAGCAACACTTCTGTTATTATACATCATTTGTGCTTTTAAAGTAAAACCAAATGTGCAATATTATGTGATGTGTTGTATTGTGCATTTGTATTATGCTTGTGGTTGTTTCACTGCACACTGGGCCAGCTATGACCGAAGTGACCTGGGCTTTATGTCACTTTCTTATTTTCGAATAAAGAATGATTTTACTACACACTCTTGTAAATTTTTGTGCTGTGGCATATTTCAAATGCATATTGAAAAGATATTACCCTGTTGACTTGGAAAGTTTACTGAAAAGCTTTCTTGTAATTATCTGTCCAGTTCCTACAAATCTTTAAACTTTTGCAGTGGTTTTATTTTTGCGGTGACCTCTCCACTGCAAATTCATGACACACAGCAGCAAGTATATATTTTCAATGTATTACTAAGTACTACTGTAGTACAGAATTGTTTCAAGGCCAACTGAATTCAAAACACTAGGAAAACCTCCTTCCTTCCTACTGCAAAATAGTACCACTGCAAAATTAAATCAATTTACAGTTATGCAGCAGATAGTGTGCTGATGGTACTTCATGTTGTGTGAATAGATCCCATGGAGTGGACAGAAGAGAATGTTGCCCAGTGGGTGGAGTGGGTGTCACAGGAGTTTGCCCTGGATGGCATGGATCCCCACCACTTCCAGGCCACCGGCAAGGACCTGTGCAGTCTGCAGCAGAAAGACTTCCTGGCCAGGGCACCTGCGGGCAAGGGGGAAATCCTCTGGACTCACCTGGAGCTGCTCAGGAAATGTGAGTCACTCCTCCTTGAACAAGAAGAGTTTTTGTGAATTTCTTGCTGTATTAATTATCATGGATCATTGTATGTTTCTCTGTTTGTGCATTTCCCCACTAGCAGTCCTGGCCAACTTCCTCGCTGGCTACCCACCAGCTTCTGGGACCTAATTTCCTGTGCCTGACCTTTTATAGCCTGTCGTTAGGGAACTCTCCTTGCCCATATGTTGTCAATGAACTGTACAAACACAAGCAAACACACTATGATACTGTCATGGTTATGCTTCCGTCATATGAATGATCAAGCATTCTCATGAATGTTCTCATAAAGTTTAACCATTATATGTTCCCACTTGCCTTGCAGCCATTCACCCCATCTCTACTGTGGAAGTTGTTGCCTCAGAAGGTTTAACAACAGTTACACAAGGTGTGTATCCTAAGTTAGCATATGAGGCTATCATAGGATAGCTAGACCGTTGTTTCACCCACCAACTTTGTTGATTTCCTACAAAAATCTGAGAACCAACAAAATCAATGTGGCCGCATGTTCCAGAGCACATGAAGTAACCTCCTGTGACCTTCCTGTTACAGCAGGTGTGAGACAGGTGGTCACAGCCCCCACTAAGACAATCAAGGTGCTGACCACCAAGGCAGCCAGCATCAGCCGGCCGCGGTCGCCCCGCATCATGGGCGGGGAGGAGAGGAGCTCCCCGGGGAACAGGACAGGTAGGGCAGGCATCTCACCTGTCTTCATGGAGGTCATTTTTGGCAATGCCTCAGGGTAGGCCTAATGGTAGATATCATTGTCCAGTTCTTAAGTTCAAAGGAATGTCTTGTGAGGATTGGCGTGATTTTTGTTATTTAGATAGTTTAGGTGATGATTGATATAATCATATAGCTGTATATCAAAGGCAAATAAGGATCTAGTTTGCATAAATACTTGCTATTCCAACTTACAAAAGAATACGTGTACACAAAATTATTTCTATTATTTGCAGTATGTATTACAGTTTAAAAATCATTTCAATGGCTCAGGAGCCCAAAATATAAATGTTTAGATTTAAGATGTTCCTTCTGATCCTCCTGTCTGTAGGTAACAATGGACAGATCCAGCTGTGGCAGTTCCTTCTGGAGCTGTTAACAGACAAGGACTCCCGGGATGTCATCAGCTGGGTGGGAGAAAACGGGGAGTTCAAGCTGAACCAGCCGGAGATCGTGGCACAGAAGTGGGGCATGAGGAAGAACAAACCGGCCATGAACTATGAGAAACTTAGCAGGGCCTTGAGGTATGTACACTTGACTTGAATCATTTATGTATTTACTGAGATTTACCACATTTCTGGAAGGGGACTATCACCTTTTCAAGATGTCAACCCGGAGACCAGACTGTAAAGTTGAACTACTCACACAGGGAAAGACCCCGTGTGGCTTTTATAACATGCTTGTGGTGTTGCTGTCCTCAAACACAGCACCCCAGCTTTAAGTCCCTTCTGAGAGGATGTCCCTAACCAATTTAAGGCTGGGAAGTACTCATTTTCAAATGCCAATTAGAAGTGGTCAGGGGAACGAACCAGAGCTAGAACGGGGTGGATATAAGTTGGCATTGTGTGATAAATTTGCATCATTATCAAACAGAAAAGTTTCATTACTGGAGAACCACACAACCATCTATTTTCCTTACCTGTAGGTACTACTATGATGGGGACATGATTGCCAAAGTCCACGGGAAGCGGTTTGTATACAAGTTTGTTTGTGACCTGAAGCAGCTGCTGGGCTACAGCGCAGGGGAGCTCAGCAGACTGGTGTCCGAGGCAGAGCAGAAGAAAATGTCGCACAGCAGGAGAACGGCCAGCCTCCTAGCGGCCAGCCCGGGAACTTCAGACTAGTTTTGTTAGTATCCTCTTAGGCCCCCTTTCTACTGGACGTCGATCGCTGACCAACCATACTGTGAGCAAAGTTGGGGGTGTGTGACCCTTGTTTTTATGATTGAAATATGATGAATGATGTTTAAGTCTGGCTTAAAAGACAACACAAGATGTAAAATAAAAAACATCTGTGCTTTGTATCTGAAATTTGTTGAGCCATCTGTCAAATGTTGTTAGGTAGCTTCATGGTTGCTCAGCAGTCAAAGCCTCTAGTGGCAAGGGGGTGTAGTACTCTACAGGTATTCCATTTTAATGCATTTGTAATGACTAGTTGGACAGATTACATGTGATATCTCATAAAACATTTATTTGACGAAATCTATGTTGTCACAAGTACCACTGCTGAAAAAAATGTCAATTACCAGGGGTAAGCAATGCCCACATCTTCTTGCACAATCATTTTGTGTTATGTTTACAGGTGAAAGCTTTAAAAGTATGGGAGGCAAAAGTTTGACATTTCCAAACATCCTACTACAGTTACCGTGAAGCCTTGTGATGATTGAGAGTAGTATAACACACCTTAACCATTCTCTGTGTCCTGTCTAGGAAACATGAAATCTGTGATTTGCATAAAAATGCTTTTTGGAGACATAGAGGGAATAAGCTTCCATTACTACCTGGCTGGGCATTGGTTTGGAAATATGACTGTAGCATAAGTTCCAGTTCAGGGATGTTTGAAGGTAATTGTATAGATTCTGAAATAGATTTACAAGTATAGATGTACATACAGTTGATGTTAGGAAACATGGTGGGACCAGATACATTTAACATCTTCACAGGAAGTACTCCTACTGATAATCAAAGTGAAAGGGGTTAGTTTATACCATCAGTATTTTCAGAACTATACATGACAAGTATGGACTTTTAAGTTGTCCAAAGAAGGTAGTTCTTTCCTGTAAATATTTTAGAAGTTAATGAAATGATACTGTTGATTAGAACAAAGGTGGTGAGGAGTAAATGCTACGGTTGGACTAGTTAATTGCTTGGATGGACATGTACAGCAGTTCAATATAATAGAGAAGTTGATGTGAAAGATTTTAATGCTACTGTAGTATTACAAATGTTTGTCACAGGTAGACAGACTTTGGTTCCAGCATCAATACAAGAAATGTGTCAGTTTCCTCAGCAGGGTTTAGGTCTGTGTGGGTTGTTGCTAGCTTAGGGCACATATTGTACAATTATATGATTGCAAACCTAGGGAATTCTTGGGATACATGTATACAGAATGTAGCTGTTTTGTTATGGAATAGTCTGTCTTAGGTCAATGTCAGTGATTCGTCCTCCTACAGACTACTTAGAAATTCTGCTGAATCAAAATTGTAGTACGAATGTAGCTACCCTGTTAGAATTAACATACCAGGTACATATAGACTGGAGGGAGAGGTTCTCTCACCTACCATTTGTAGTGTTGTAAGATTGCTCGAATGAATCATGTTCTATCACCAAGAAATGAAGTGGTCCAACCTTGCAGTAAGAACCACTCAAAATGATGACTATGAGCTGCCTTTGAACATTGTCATGCTTGTTTTCAAAACAAAAGTGCTATTTTTGTATCAAAACTATCTTTGGAGCATGCCGTCTTTGTATACACTTTACATGTACATTGTACTGACTGTAGATATTGTAAATGGTTACTAAAGGCAAGGTTACCCAGTATTTCAATTTATAGTACAACAACATCATGTGCCATTCTTATCTTAAAAGTTCATCTGTGTTGGTAGAAGTCATTATGCAGCAAGATTAAAATGTAATTTCCAACACAAGAAATTAGACATTGAATCAGGGCATTGCAACCAACCAACAGAGACAGGGGGTGCCACAGACTTTCTGCAACCTATGATCCACTGCTCACGGAGGCACGTGTGTTATCTGCGTGACGTCACAGAAGCAGTGGATTGTTAATTCCTTGACAACGACTGGAGTTGTACAGTCGAAAATTTGGGTGAGTCCAATTTCTTGTGTTGGAAATTACAGTTGCATCTTGCTGCATAATGTGCCATTCTTATGTGACCTTCATGAAGGCATGTTGTTTTGGGTCCGAAGTACTCCAAAGACAGGTTTATAGGTCTTTGAGCTTGCTACATTTTTATTTGAACAATTCTGTGTGTTTACCAAACTGTGTACACTTATATCTTAACAAGCCCTATTATAGGATTTGTGTCTGCTGTAGACTAAGGCCACACCAATTTTAATTGGTTGGTTCTTTGATTTAATATACTTATGCTGAACTGCAAAATCAACATGGAAACAGACTCTGAGGAGAAAGTCTGTACCTTGGTACACACAGTACCAGGAAACGAGTGTAGCTCAAGTTTTCCTCCTTGCCAGTTTTCATATTGACTGATGGCTGAATTTTTACTAAAAAATATCTGGGAACCACGAAAAGAAATTGGTGTGGCCCAACCTGCAGCATATTGTTAATCAATGTCAGTTTCCAAGTTTTGCCTTATCAGTAGCCTGCAAATGTCTATATGGATGACCAAATACAGACTAATGTTGGCTAAACATAAGTACATCTACAATGTGTAGTCTTATGTTACTGTGAAATTTAGTTATTGTGCATAATCATACGTTGTTCAAATCAATGTGGACAATAATAGGTTCAGTTACTATAGAGATGTTCTGATATATATGCACAATGCACTTTTACATCAGTAAAAGGAGATACCACAGACTTGCAATGGTTTTCATTCTGATTATAATTATAAGCTGATTACAAGAACTGTATAAAGTATGTCTTGACTAAAATACAAATACATTTAAAGTGGGCTACGAGTGGGGGGGAAGATCAGGGAGGGCTACGAGTGGGGGGATGATCAGGAAGGGCTACGAGTGGGGAGATGTTTTTGACCGCGATGTTCTAAATAGAACAGGACGGGGCTAATACGATGTTTGACCGGAAAGGTCCATTCAGCCATAAGGCTGCCATAGACTTTTAACCTGTACATGATTATGCGAATAAACCAGTCATCATGTAACTTACTCAAACATATAATAAACTGATATGAAATAAATGATCCACATCAGTTGGTTGGAATATCAAAAAGTTTATTGCATCAAATAGTTCATGAGCTTACAAATATGTGCCATGTGCAGTATATACAAAAGGTGCAAAAATGTGCAAATATGTAAAAAATACTTTTCTCTCACAGTTACCAAAAATTATACATCTAGGTGAGACAATTCTCTGTTGATCAAAATATTCACATAAGAATTATCAAGGTTAAAATCTGTCTCCACCAAAATTCATACACCGATTTTGCACAGTTTCATTTCTAATATTATTGTAAAAATTTATAAAACAGTCTGCCAAATTTCCGACAACATTATCTCCATATTGCATAGACCAAAATGCCATGTTTCATACACATTGCTCCAGGCAATTGGAAACACCTCACTCCCACACACCATATACACTGTTTATTACTTCAAATATTGCAGAAAGTCTAAATCAAAATTCCTAGCAAATCTTTTTACACAATATTTTCACACAGTGTGATTCTATATACCAAGATCCTAGACTTGACATTATATGTGCATAGATCAAAATATTTCAGGTGACATGACCGAGGCCGAGAACTGAATACTAGTAGTTAAGCACAGCTAGTGAAAAGTTTTTTTTAAAATCTCACGCATTTTGTCCTTGTCAACACTCATTACCTAAACTAGCATGTATAAGTGCAAGCTAGTACATTATGCTGACTATTCATAAATGGTAAATGAAATCTTTTTCCTAAAATTCTACAGGTATATGTGTAGTTCATTTTAAGCGACATAACAGGTATTTGGTACACTGTGGACTTTTTTGGTCTTTGTCATAACTCAAGTTTTAGCAGCTGCCTTCTGCAGGTGTGTCTGCAGCTGCTGGGTTTTGTCGTCCAGCTGAGTCTGTAGAGCTTCCAGCTGCTCGCCGACTGCTGCCTTGCTCATGTTGGCTGCTGTCAGGCTGGAGCGGGCCTCGTTCAGTTTCTTCACAGTCTCCTGCAGGAAATGGATGGGTGGGAGGGGGAGATGGGTTAGTGCAACATGGGTGGGGTTCTCTTCTTTCCTATCAAGACATACTCTATAGCCTGCCTATACCACGCTTCTTGCAGCCCTTCTGCTAGTCAGGCCCCTTCAAGCCAAATCCTCTTAGTCAGGAGAACTACCGTAGGAACATCCTAATCCTGCAGTTTATTCATATATATGTGCTGTCAGAGACTCCTGAGGTCCTATTGGTAGGTCTTGGAATGTTTTTTTTTAAATCTCTTTGACAAAATTTAGATGCCATACAAACATTGATGACCGTACCTTGATGAGGCCCATCTGCTGGCTGCGAGCGCTGCCGTCTGCAGCCTGCTGCAGGAGACTGGTCTGCTGCGCCGTCTCCTCCTGCAGCTCCGCCATGCTGGCCTGCAGCTCCACGGCCTGCCGGCACAGCTGGGAGTACTCCCCGGACAGCGAGTCCACCCGCTCCTCCAGCTCCTGGACCTGCACCTGGGGTGTCAGGGGCAACGGGCAAATGTCAGCAACCAGGGAAACTATAGGCTTACACAAATAGTGCTACATTTGGACATCAAAATGAAAACAGATTCTGAGGTGCTAGTCTGTACCTTGGTGGACACAGTTTCAGGGATTGAAGAAGTCAGTGCTATTTTCCCCCAAGCACTCTGTTTTTGTGATCTTCTTGCAACAATTTTACATAAAAATGTCTGAGAACGAAGGCACGTTAACCACAATAATTAGACAGTTTACCTGTAAGAACTGTTTAAGCAGGTCCTTCTCTGTGGCCTTTCTGATAGCCACTTTCATGCGCCCCCCTGGACTGTCTTCTTGAATGGCGTCTTTCGCAGTGGCCTTCCACAGTGCCAGCCCACTCAAGCCAGCACGGGACGGTGTGTCCAGCCCCGGGGAGGAGCGTGAGGAAGCTCGGGAGGCCTGCCGAGTCAGAACACTCGTTCCTGTGGGGACATAAGTTAGGTTGTTATTCTTTTATCATCACTTGGGAACAATTGGGTTACAAAAGGAGCAAAACACGTACTAAACTTATCTAATTCTTGTAAAATGTTGCCTTGAATGAACTTAGTTGACAAGGTACATAGACCCCCAGGCTAGAATGAAACTGCATCAAGGCAATCTGAGATGGCAGACTTCAACCCCTTCAGAAAAGCACCTACAAACAAATGGTCAGACACATAGGCCTCACTCCCTGACAGTGACGTAATTCTCTACGATGATTTTTTGCACCTGTGAGTGAATCCTTCTGGAGCTGTCCAAGCCACTTGTCCACCTGGTCCTTACTGCCGTGGTCCTTGGCTGACTGCATCTTGTCGTCCACCCCACCCAGCAGGCCGCCCAGCTGAGACACCATGGTGTATGAGCCGTACTCACTCAGCCTACAACACAGATACAGAACATAATCATCATACATGTCTCACCATGGTGTATGAGCCGTACTCACTCAGCCTACAACACAGATACAGAACACACTCATCATACATGTCTCACCATGGTGTATGAGCCATACTCACTCAGCCTGGCAACACAGATACAGAACATACTCATCATACAGGTCTCCAGGGTGGGGGACTTCATCGTAGAATGATTATTTATGTGCCCTGCCACACTTGTTGTACGATCATTGCATGAATGCAAATCATGGGCATTCCTGGGATAGACATGCAAATGTTGTACAAAACTGAACTGTCTTAGATCCTTGACAGCAGTTGGTTCTGTCACAGCCTGTTTGAAACTTCTATGACGACAAATTTGTATGATGGTTTTCCTATAAAATGCGAATCTCAGGAAAAGTTAAATTTTTCATGAAGGATCTGTCAGTGTGCAGTGCACGTTTGAGAGACAGTAATGTCCCACCTGGTGTTCAGTTCTCCCTTGCTGAAGTGCACCCCTTCTCTGCTGGTCCCTCTCAGGAGCTTCACATCCAACAGGTCGTCTACTGCAGCGTCCCTCTCCGACTCAGTCTCACAGTCATTAAACATGGTTTCCACCATCGGCTGATGCAAACAACAGACAGGTAAGATATGAATGTATTAGATAGCAGGTGTGGGAATCAGAAAATACATGACATCAAAGTTTAACTTAGAATCTAAAAAAAAGACAGCATCATTGTTATCACCCACCATAGATGCTGCCTTATCATTGGCTGGCCCCGGTGACGAGCGTCGATACCGGGCAAAGAACAGGTCGTTGCAGACGGCTGACAGGGCGCGGTGGAACTCCTGTACAAAGTCTGGAGAGCTGTCATCCCGGAGATCACCTACAGACAGGACATGGACATTGGTTTGTATTCAAATACTCTTAACTTGACCAATGTCACATATCAGTGACATGAGTCAGTGACTTTGTCATACTCCACCAGTTTTCTAAATTCTTTTTATATATTAAGTGTCGACGAGGTCTGCCAGTTTACTCTAGCTATAGTGATGTTTAAGTATACAGTATAGTCATTGAGTATACTCAAAGCATTTGGTATTTTATCCAGTAGTAGAATTTGAATTGTCAGTGAGTATCAAGGCTAATGACACTCAATGACAATGCAAACTGTCTAATCTTCACCAATGTAAGATGTATATTTCTTTCACAGGGACCACAAGTTAAATTACTACATGTACATGTATGTGTAGGATAGGATTCTTTAAACTGACAAAATCAGTGGCTGCCTTACCTGACTTGATGTGAGCCAGTGTGTGCACCAGCACCAGGACAAACTCTCCCACCCTGTCCATCCGGGCACGCCGCACGTACAGGATCCGGTTGTTGTGGTCGTACTGGAAGGAGTTCCTGTGGACAACAAAAAACACATAAACTTTTCTCTCACCTTCCAATTACAGATGCTTAAAACGTACTGAAGCAAGATAATACTGTTACAGTTGCCAGTTTGGGTACGCTACTGAATTTGTGAATTTCAAAAGTATTACATATAGATTGTACAAGTTTTATGTATTGTACATTGGCCACAACAAATATACGACTGCCCCGTAACAGTGCAAGTTACATGTAAGCCTGGGCACATCTCCAGCCTACCTGTAGGCATTCTTGCTGAGTTGAGGGTTGGGTGGGATGGAGTCTGCCAGCAGGATGGTGACAGGAGGATGGCCACAATGCACAGTCAGCAGGCTCCCGATGAAACATGCAAACTTGTACACGATGAAGTCTTTGGGACTCAGCTTGTTCAGGTCGACTGGTTTGAACTCTGTGTCGGCTCCCCAGTCCACATCACGGGAGTCCATGTACCCATCTCCTACTGTACATGTGGGAGGGAGGGGCATGTGATCATCATCATCCCAAGGTTATCACAGTCACATAACTTATCATGGAAATCACAATAGCAAGGTATCATATTTAGATAATACCAGACTTTGACACTATTCAATTCTTGGTCTGAGAAAAATGGAGGTATTTACAGAACTACATAGTATATGTTCATGGTGGTGGCAGATGCAGGAAAAAAAAAGCGAATTATTTGTAAATTATGGTAAATTAAACTATACGTTCAAGGCACAGAAAAGACTGTGAAAACCGCAAACAAAAAAATATGGTGAAAAAATCAGGAATTACAGACATACCTCATATTACTTAGGCCTGACTATAGTGACAGGATCTGGTATCTTTAAGAGTATATATTGGGTTTTATGGAGACCACAGTAGGTACTCTGTCAATTGAGATTACAATGGACGTGTGATGACCCCATGAGTTTATGTACAGTTGTACACAAGACTGCCCACCTGCTGCCAGTTTGCTGTTGTTCCCGATGAGGTCCTTGATCTCCTGCAGTTTCTGGTAGAGAGGAGACGCCATGAGGATGTTGGTCAGTTCACCGTCCTGGAGAGGAGCGGTCTGCTGGAAGGAGCCGGGCAGGGCCAGCTGTGCAGGTGCAGCACCTGTCAGGACAGCTGCGGGGGAGACGTCCTCCTGAGATGGCACCAGTCTGTCGATGTTCACACTCTCCTTCAGGGTGAGAACCTGCCCAGGAAGGGACAAACAGAACATACAGTCAGCAACAAGCAGGTCTCAAACTCTGGAGACTGGCACAATTGTATCAAATATTCAATGTGTATCCAAATGATTGATGTGTCTAAAAATTATTGACATGTATCAGTACGATTGAAGTGCATCCATATGAATGATGTGTATCAAAATGTTTGATATATGTATCTGACTCAATAAGAGTGATATTTATCAATACAATAGATGCACATAATATGACGAAAGTGTATCAAAATGATTGATGTGTATCAATAGATTTGTCATGTATCAGTAACAGTGATATGTATGACACTGATGTTATTACCTCATCCTTCTTCATCCTTTCCTCCTCAGAGCGCAGTTTCTCCTCGTGCTCTCGGCGCATCTCCTCCGCCGTATTCTGTACCTCCACTTCCTTCTGCCGACGTTTTTCCTCCCGCCTACGTCTCAGACGCTCCTGTGGACCAACCAGGACAAACAATTGCCTAACCAACTTTAAAAGAGGCAACAGAGGTTTTGACAACTTATTGGCACAACCAAAGAGATGGTCTGACCAACAGGCCTTCTTCTCCAGAAACCTTGTTGTGACAAGCCCTAAGTATGTGACTTGCATGGCAGAGCCATCACTCCCTCCCAGCCTACCAGACATCACTTCCAACTTGACCTCAAGGTCAATCTGCAGTAACCCATCCTACCTCTCTACTTCATTCAAATACCTACAAATGCAACAAAATACATTGACAAACACACTGAAACTAAGAAGTGTCTGACCTGTAGTCCACTCTGCATGCGCATGCGGTCAGCCTCCATCTTCTGCTCCAGTTTCTGCACGTCCTTCTCGTGCTGCTCCAGCAGGCGGCGCTGCTCGTCCTCACTCACGCCCTGCTGTGCCACGCGCTCCATCTCCTCCTTCACCTTCTGCTTCTTCTCCTTCAGCAGGTCCTCCTTCCGCTTGTTCAGGGCGGCGATGGACTTGTCTGTCCGCTCCTTCTCCTGCCGTGCCTCCTCCTCCAGCTGGTGCTCGTAGGCTGCCAGCTCCGCACGGATCCGCTCCTCTTCTTCTTTTTCAAATGCTTTAAAGGAACAACAGTTCTTTGTTATAAATCAGGATTGCAGGCATGTTGCACACATGCATGTATAATAGAAAAACAGGCATCCTGTGATAGACTCAACTGTCACCAAGGAGTATACAAAAGATTGGTAAACATTTCAAACAATGACTACAAAATGTACTGTATCTAATAATTTTGAATGCATGAATGACTACACATGTAGGAAGACAAGGAGTTTCTCCAATGGTTAGTTCCAATGTACAAGCAATTTTGAGAAGATAGATACCCTGAATTGAATCTATGATCTTCTTTTCTTAAATGAAATAAAATGAAAGAAAGAACCAAGCAATTAAGTTTGTGTGGCCTGATCACACTATACAAATCTGTTGCTGGCCCTGGAACCCATTCAGTAGTGGCACACAGTCATCTACCTTCTTTCTCCTTCTTCAGTTTCTCCTCATTTTCCTTCCTCTGTTGCTCCAGTCTGTTCCTGACTTCCTCCAGCTCCCGTGCCGCGGCTAGTGTCTGCTCAACACTGCGCTGTTTCCCCTCCAGTTCATCTGGGGTCAGTTCCATCAGGGCCTGGGCAAACTCCTAATCCAGATCAACATGGAGGTTTAGCAGTTTTAGGCGGAACTCAACAGGCTTGGCAACAAAATGCATTTAACAGTTTTGATTTGCATTCAATAGCAAGAAATTGGATATTTCAAACCTGCATGAAATATTGAGTTTCTTTTTTAGAAATTCTTGTTTAATTCATTATTGTCAATATGTATTTTCCTACAGGCACCCAGCCAACAGACCCATGGCCAACAGACTCCTGGCTAAGTATGTCCTTTTGTGGTCTGTGGTTAGGGAATTCCCACCACCCATGTTCTGTCACTCAACTCAATTCAATTATGTTTAGTTTTGGTTAGTATAGAGGAGGAGGGCTTAGCATAAGCTAAATAAGCTTTTTTCCCTCCTCCTGCACCTGTTTTATTCATTATTAATGTATTATGTATAATTTTTATTGCTGTTGTGCAAATAAACAAACAAACAAACAAACTGTACAAAGTCAATACACAGGCACTTTTTACATATCATTGAATGTAACATTAAACACATGAATGAAGGGACGTGGATACCTTGTAGTGCTTCTCCTTGAGGGCCAGCTTAGCCTGAGCAAAGCGCAATTCCCAGTCGGACAATGCACTCTGCTCCAGCTGCCTGGCTTCCTGGGAATGCCTCCTGTCCAGGGAGCTGTCAGGTTAGGAGGAAAACTGAAAATTAGCACTGCTGTGTTACGGCACACTTCAGGTGCTCTATAATCTATACATGGTTCATATAAGTTTCTCTGTTAATCTGTGAAGAAATGTTGCAAAAGTTGGTTGATTTTGTATTCATAAAAATTTGGTCTTTTAGAAAAGAGATGTGCACTGCTTCATGTATCAGCTGCCTGGTTCTGACCTGAGCTCCAGTTGTTGCCGGTTCAGCATCTCTGCCCGGAGCTGAGCGAGCTCCTCCAGAGTGACTCCACTGTTCTCCAGCTCCTCCAGCTCCGCCTCGTGCCGCTGCTGCAGCAGGTCTCTCTCACTGCCACACCGGGCGTGGAGCCGGCTCAGCGCGTCATCAATCATCACCTTCTTCTCCAGGCCGTACTCCTCCTCCAGGTCCTTCAGCTCCTGGGCATGGCGACGCTCCAACACCTGGGGGGGGGGGGGGAGTACAGCTAGTGAGGACACTACTACTGGTACTTGCTCTAACACTTCTAGAGAGAACAGCTAGTATGGACGTTTTCAGCTTCCGTTGAGATGAACATTACGTTATTATGCAGGCCTTGAAATACCACCTGCATATAAAGGTTCTGTATCTGTACAGTCGGTGTAACTGCCCTTGGGCGTAACACACCAGCTTCAGTAAGTGCAGGCTTGTTAATGCCAGGCTTGTATTTGATATCTACAGTTACTGTTAGTAATGATGTTGTGAGGACCTACCGCCCTGATGACTCTGTCTCCAGCTTCTGTACCGTTCTGCTGAATGCCGTCAATCATGGCCTGCTTCTCAGCTTCCTTCACCTGTTACACATTAAAGTAGCTGTAAGTACTGAATACAGGACGACTTCAGCCATTCCTCATTTACACTAGAGGCTGCAATTGACTGCTAAGTGACCAAACATTTGACAGATGACTCAACCAATTTCAAAAATAACATTTTATTTTACATTATCTGTGCTATACTGTGTTTTAAATCACACTTTTGCAGCTTGCATCATAATTCCAATTATGAAATCACAGCAATCCAACTTTGGTCAGTGTGCAATTGCTCAACACCTTGGTACATGAAATCAATAATCTTGCGCCTCTTCCAAATTGGAAAAATTAGCCCTCTCAAAGAAACATGTTCCCTTAAAACCTGACCTGTTTTGTTCGAGCCTCCTTCAGTTCTTTGTTCTGTTCCAGGAGTTCCTTCGTCATCTCTGCCTCCTGCTGACGTTGTTTGTTCTGCAGCCTGCTGCGCTTGCGAGCCAGCAGCTTGTCCCTCAGCGACAGCTGCTGACGGGAACGCTCCGCGTCCAGACGGTCGTTCAGGTCTTCCAGTTCTTGTTCATGAGCAGCGAGGAGCTGTGGGCACAACCACAGAACACATCATTAACACTTCACAACAGATGGAAACAAGATTTACAACAGATGGAAACAAGATCCAAAGATCTATTTTTCATAAATATTTGTATTTATACATGTACTTTATTTATGTTTCTCTAAATGTTTTAGATGTTTTTTATACTTTATACTTTTAATACTTTTTCAAGATACTGTTTTCATTAATTTCAGATAAGCCTTTCAGACTTCATCTCTCTGTATGCTCTATGTTGTAATTTATACATTTCAGACATACATTGTAACTTGTTTCCTTCTTTGTGCAAATAAACAAACAAACAAACAAGAGAAGTAAGAACAAAGAGTCTTACAGCTGCCATCTCTTCCTCTGTAAGGTCTTTCCTGGCAGCCAGCTCGGCCGCTTGTTTGTTCTTCTTCTCTCTCAGGGCCTTCTCTCTCTCTGCCTCAAACTTCTTCCTCTCCTCAGCCTCTTTCTTGCGCATCTCTTGGTCCATCTTGGCCTCCATCTCCTCCCTCTCATCCTTGTGTCGAGTGACGAGCTCATCTTGGGCACGCTGGTGTTCCTTCTTGATAGCCTAGAAACATCAGGTACAGTTTGTATAATTATGAAGACTAATCCAGAAGTACAGTGAACAGGAACACACTAAACAAAATTTTAGAGATTTCAGACCTCCAGAAAGTGTCTGTGAAAGAAATTGTATGTATTACACAACTTCCTGAATTTCTCCACATACATGTTGTACCACCCACTTACTCCCACCCAGTTTACAGGAAGGACTGTCAGGTGGCCTTACCTGTTCTTCCAAGCTGTCTCCAGGTTTCAGCTGTGGTATGACGAGGTCGGCCACCGCCTCCTGCTGCTGCAGCTGAGCCACCTGCTGCAGCTGTTTCTCCTGCTCATCGATGAACCTCTTGGCAGCATCCTCCTCTGCTTGTCGCATGGCATCTGCAATCTTACGCGCCTTCCGAGCTGCTAATTTGGCCTACAGAATCATAATTGGATTTTCTTTCACACACTGATAAAAAGAATGACACCAAGAACATGACTTCTTGAATAACAGCTTAACTGACAGGAATACTTTCTACCATAAGCCTCCCATTCTCAAAGCTGTGTAGGTACACAACCATATTTAAGACTTTCCCTCCCTCGACCTACACAGTGTTAATCCACAGGACAGAGGCACCTGGGGGTCTGCCATCAAGCCACAACATCTATGTGCAAGTATGTGTAACCCTCATGAGACGGGATCAACAGACAATACACCAGATAGTGACTGTGAGTGAGTGAGGGTGACAGGGAGACAATATGAAACTTTGCAATGTTCATGATTAATTCCAGAAACTGCAAAGTACACATTTGTATTGGTAAGTCACTGGACAACCAAACCCCAGGGAAGTGCATTATAACACGCAAGTGTAAAACGGCACATTTTACAATGGTTGATACCTTCCAGCCCTGCCCAGGTCAGTATTCCAGCAGCAAGTTTGTACAATGTTGTGAGTACAAGACAATGAATAGAAGTTCCACAATGTTGTTGAGAATTTCAAACAATCCAGTAAGAAGAGTAATTTGATTGTTGCCTGAACTTGCTGACCTGTAGGTCCTGTGTCTGGCGCTCCCTGCGGATGTTGGACATGTACTCCAGGTTCTCCTGGTCCTTACGGAAGCGGTCCATGATCTCCTGCTGCCTGACAGCGTCCACACCGTGCTTGGAAGACAGCTGGTGACAACAACAGTCCAATGTTACTCTGACCTTCAGTCCAATTTACTGACTTAATTGGAATGTTATGACAACATTGATTAATGGACATGCTTTTGTTTTGACGCATCAGATTTGACTGTAATCATGTCATTGGCACTACCAAATGTCATGTCTTTGGAAAGCAGCTTCTACTAGCTGAATGGGCTACCAAGCCATTATATGATGAGATAAATATTACAAAAAACACTAAATGCAAGCAATAAATATAGTATAATACAATTACTGTGATAAAGTAAAATAGCACAGTGACAGTAATAAAACATTATAATACGAATACTGCTGCAGCTCTCACATCTTTCAGGACATCCTTCTGAGACTCCTTGAGTGTATTGGAGTGTTCCTCGTCCAGACTCCTGCTGATGTCCCGCAGGTGTTCCGCCTCCTCCGCCGCGATCTGTGCCTCCAGGGCCTCCAGCTCCCGGGCGTGGCGCCGGTCCAGCTCAGCAACGTCCTCACCTGCCTCCAGCTGGAACAGGGGGATGAGATCAGTCAGTCCTGACTTAAATCAATCAACACCAGATTCAACACAATTTTCTTAGGCGTACAACCTCATTTTTTCCTCTACGGTCACTGTATCGGTTGCTCTTCTGTCTTCATCACGGTAATGTTACAGTTATTTCTCTCTCAATTTGTGATCAACATGACAACATGGATGTAGTCAAAAATGTGACTGAGCTTTGTGACGTTTAATAACACATCCTTGTTGTGATAATGAGAATGAGAAAAGAAGAAGGCACGTCAATGTGATGAAGACAGCAGAACAGCTGACAAAACATTTAGAAAAAAATATTGGAGAGAAGAAAATCGATTTACCAGCCTGATGAAACTACACATGAACATATGAATCAACATCCAAGTTGGACAATAGTGAGGAATGATTCAGACTATATTATATATGTCTTGGTTGACATGACACATGTCAAAACCTGGACATGCCATGCAAGACAGGACACATCTCATGCTGAAACAGGCTGGTTAGCATTAAGCAAGCAATACAAAATGTATAACAGCTCCACCAAGAGGTTGCACATGCAGAATGCTGCATAGCTCATTACATCCTACTGTAAATGCATATACTTTCGCAGTGGTTTTATTTCACAGCTTAAGGGAAAAGGAGGTTGTCATGATTTCGCATTAAGAGGATACCATAGAAACTACAAAAAAATAAAACCATGAAAGTAAAGGCATTTACAGTAAGTACTGAAAGTGCTGAAAAAGAAACAAGCCCTACTGTTAAGGAAAGATAGATCAGACCTGACATCTGAAGACTATATCATGCATTGCCTCATGCTTCGCCTCATTTACCCAACACAACTTACCAATTTTTGCCTCTTTCCACTTCCATCATCCTTCATGAACCAAGACAAATTTCACAAGAACAGTGATTAATGGGCATTCTTTTGCAAGCAGTATGGTAAAAATTGACAATGACAAAAATGTGAAAGATTTACCTCGTATGTCACCAAAGCTCCCTTTTATCAACAGAAATTCCAAATTTTAACAAAGTTTTGAAGCTGATATGATTTATGATACCTGGTCTTTCCTTCCTCTCTTCCTTCCTTGCTGCAATTGGAAACAAATATTGAGTATCTTAAAATACTTTTTAGAATTTCTGTTGTAATACATCAAAATAAAGCAGACATGACTTCTCCCAGCTGTCTAACCAATAGAGAATTTAATTTTAGCTACTTCATTGTAACTACCCAGAGAAGAAAAGTACAGATAGGGTTCTTTCTTTATCCACCATAACCAATAGGAAGACACCTTATATGGACCTTAAGGTTGATCTAGAAAGACTGACTGACTGTGATACACATTCACTCTCCCATGCACCAGGACACCACATATTATACCTTTCTAGCAGCCTCAAATCTGGCAGATATGGTGTCTTGAATGGTGGACTGATGATCACCATCACTCAACTTAGTCTTAAAATCATGCAAATAACATATTCCACATGAGCCAAAGGTAAATCACATAAGCAGATTCTGTTTGAACTAGACTCTGAAGTAGAGTTAGCAAAAATCTATGCTGTAATGTTATGCAGAAAAATATGCTTCAATTCCATTCTTAACATTCAAATACTATCCAACTAATAACTAACTTAAGGTTATTCACAAGAACAAAATTGACAGGACTTACAAATGAGGATACTTTTACTCTTGATAGCAAATGAGGCCACTTTTACTCTTGATACTCATAAGGTAAATCAACAATGATTATCTTTAAGATGTATGTACATTTAAGGCATAACTTTATCAATGGCATAAAACATGTTGAGTATGAGTGAGGCTATGAATGAGAGAATGGCAGGATGTGGTTATGACAGGACAGATGGGTGTGGCTGGGTTACCTTGGTGACAGAGTCTGTGTCCTCTTCATCTTCTGCAGGGTGCATCTTGTGTGGGGAGGGGAGAGCAGGGGTGAGGGTGATTCATGATGTGCACAATCATAATTATCACATAATCATAGTCAGCAATGTTCTGTTGATTGATTGTAAATGAACATGACATTTGAAATGAAATTATATAGACTTTCATTTTAATAATCACTGATATCCATGATTGAAATGAAGGTTATGGAGGACCAGAAGGGAATGACTACCAAATGGTAGAGATGAGGAAGTTGATACAGACAGATGTCTGTAATAAAGTCAATCAAAAGACAGGAGGAAGAAGAGAAAGTGAAGAAACTATTATAAGTTAAATCAAGATGACCTACAAGGCCAAGAGTCAGAATACCCCCAGACTTGGGACTAGATGACCTTGACCTTCTCTCCTGAAGTAAATAGACACATGAAAGAGAAGCCTTCACCAGAAGGTAATAGAATGGGCTGTGGAGAAAGACATCCTACAACTGTGAGCCTGGTTACATAAGTATGGTCGTCATATGACAGCAAACTGAATGAATTGCAAGGATAGCTGGGTTTGTGTCCTGAAAAATGCTTATAAAAAGCTGTTTCAGATCCTTGTCAGCAGATGATCTACTAAGAAGGTTACTGTGCCATTACCAACTTCATGCACAGTCTAGTACCAGCTGTGCAAACAATGTTAGAGCATAGCTGATTGAGCAACATGTACCTTTCACACAGTGCTGGAAAATATCACACAGGGTTTTAAATCTCCTGCACCCTTACCTTAGCCTCTCTCTCCTGCACCTGTCTGTCCTTCAGCTCCTGGATGCGGCGCCTCTTCCTGTCTGCCATGCGCCCCCTCATCAGGCTGACCTGCAGGTTCTTACGCTTCTCCATGGACGCCTTCAGCGCAGCCTCCCTGTCAATCAGCTGTTTCTGGATCCGCTCACTTTCCTCTTCTGACAGTGCACCCTGCTGGACGAGGTCGTCCTGCAATGTTCACAAACAAGTTACATTAGGGACAGAATTCACCATGCTTTCTAGCTGTATGAGAGAAAATTTTGTATACTTTGGATATCTAAATGCAACTAATGAATTCATATTTTTGATGTGAATGGACAAACCTTGTACATCATTAAGAAAGTTCATACATCTTGTACAAAGAAGCAAGAAGAAGTTGACTTTACTCAGTTGGCTTAGAACAACACCTCTATCTACCTTGTATGTTTAACTTGTGTCCTAAACAAATCCTATGCCTGACAACTTCAAGTGAACAGTGTACTTAAGGTTAATATCATCCTGAATGTATATGATAAAAAAGAGCTCAAACAGTCACACAGTTACTGACCAGTGCACTGTTGATGTTGTCACTCATCTTCTGCTGTCTCTCAGCCTCCAGTTCGGAGCTGTGGTCCATCTGAGCGCGGGCCAGGCCAGCGTTCTCCTCGGCCATCAGGGCGTCCAACACCAGCTCCTGCTGGTGCAGCTTGTCCTCCGTGTTGTCCTTAGACTCGGGTGCTGCCGGGATGCCGGCCTGCTGACACTGCAAGGTGTGCAAATGGAACAAGAAATCAGAGATTTCAAACTTCAAGAAGAGGTGGTCTGATATACTTTCAATGCGCCTACTCCGACTGAACTCTGACAGAATGACTTTGTGGAGCCATCACTTCTTTGAGCCTGCCAGTCATCACTTCCTTCTAACTTGCACTTAAGAAAGGCAATTTGCAGTAAACAGCACACCTTTGCCTTCTGCATTCAAATCCCTACGGACTGAAGCAAATAAAAGGACACAGAATTAGGAACGGCTAGGAATTCAAACCCATAACCTTTAGCTTCTAAGCCAACATCCCTAGCCATCCCTAGTAAAAAGATCACCTTACTACCCAGGATATGACCTGGCCTACACAGCCCACCTGGCTAGCATGAAGTTTCCTGAGGGCAGCCTCCTTGTCCCTCCTCCTCCTGGCTAACTGTTCCCTCAGTTCGGCCGCCTGTTTCCCCTTGGACTCCTCCCAGGCCAACATGGCAGCCCCCAGCTCCCGCTCGTGGTTGGCCATGATGCGGTTGATCTCCTCCTCAGTCAGGTCACCCTGCAGCTGGAAGGTCAGCTTCTCCGACAGCTGCTGCAGCGTGCGCTGCCGTTTGGCCTCCTGTTCCTGCAGCAGCTTCTCCATGGTGTCCTTCTCATCCTGCTGCAGCTCACGCTCCAGCTGCAGCCGTTCTGCGTTCTGGTGACGCAGCAAATCTCCCTGTCCCTGGACCTGCACATAAAAAAAGGGTAAAGGTAACAATAGCCCATGGCCTTAGGAAATATCACAGGGAATATTGGGTTGTGGGCTTTCTCTTTGCAGCAAGGGGCTGAATTGCAAGGAGCTTACAATAGGTGAGGATAAATCTCTAATGGCAGCCTTTCTCCTTTCACTAAATAAAGAGAAGACAGTCTCCCACCTTCCATCCGCCTGATGGTATGGGTTGCCCCGCCATGCCCAGTCTCCTCTGTGCCTCTTCCACCATCTCCTTACTGATGGGGATGTTGCCAGAGTTCATCCTGTCCAGGAGGATCTGTAGAGCCAGCATTAGCTCCTGCTCACGCAGGTTGGCTCCACCTTCAAGTAACAGAGACACTGTGTAAGTATACTACAGGTACTTCAAGTAATGGAGACATCAGGTACTTCAAGTAATACCACATGATTATGGACAAGCCCTATTTTCATGTAGTTCTGTGACCTCACCTCCAGCCAAGGTGATTTTGCGGGCTGGCCCCTGTATGTTGTACTGTCTGTTGAGAATGGGAACCCCGGCAGACTGCTGAAGGCTCTCGTCCTCACGTCCATCACCATGACGCTGCCGCTCCTTCTCCAGCTGTTCCAGCCGGTGGAGGTCAAGGTCATTCAGCATGCCCTTCAGCCCTTCATTCTGCACCATGGAAGAGACATGTTAGACAACTTTGTTACAAACATATACAGCCCAAAATGTATGCTACAGAATAAATTGTTTTCTGTATCTGTATAGCTGTCCACGTTTTCTGTATCTGTATAGCTGACCACCCTTTGGCATAACATACCAAGTTTGCAGGCACATGGCACGATGGCAGCTGATACTACACCTGTCACACCTAACATTTGCACATGTTTAAAGCTGTCTAGTCATAATGTACTTGCTTTTTTTTCAGTGAGTTTTACTCTATTATAGTTCTAGGAGAGTCGTGGTTTTGTACACCACATTCCTTTGTTGATAATTGGTATTTAGAGGCATGACTAGTTTTTTTTTTTTAGCTGGTTTTAATGTTAGACACTTAGTAGTTTTGTCAACACTGTTTTCATAGTGTGGCAACCATAGGGTAGCTGTTTGTCTCCTGTTAGCTGACCAGCACAGTGAAACATGTACACTCAGGTACCTGATCATGGATGCGCTGGTAAAACCCTCGCAGGTCCTCCTGTGCCTTGGCCAGCTGTGCCGAGATGTGCAGGTTCTGGTCCTCAAGCTTGTCGTACAGGGTACGGACGTTAAAGTTCTCCAGTTCCTGTTCTTCTCCTGGACCTGTTTTAGTTACGACAAGCCATAGAGTGTGACCACAAACAAACATGTAACAAGAAAAACCCAATCTTAATTGGGAATGTTTTTTATGGGTGTTCTGGCCCTGGGCTTAATGGGCAAAATGAATTTGCATCTATTTCCTGACCCATCCTTGCAGTTTGTCTATGTTATGTGGGAGAGAGAACTCAGGTTCTATCTCATGCCAAAATACAAGGCAGACATTGCCTGTCAGAAACCAGTTGAACTTCCCAGAACTAAGAAGAAATCCATTGAAGGGTAGAGATAGATAAAAGTGTCAGTCTGCATGGCGTGGTTTGTCATGACTTACCCATGAACATGGCTGTGGTAGTTGTGGACTCTGCTCCCTCTGCTACTCCACGCACACCAAGAAGCAGGTCTCCCCTTTGAGAGATTACATCAGATTCTGTTAGTGACAGTCACTTTAATATCCAAATACATGTATACACAATGATAATATGTTGCATTGCAATGTATCCTCAGTGCTGCTAGGATTGGGACACAAAGCAGTAAGGATAAGGGGTGAAGTCTGCCATCTTTGCCTGGTAATCATGAATTACAATGTAAATGATTCCCACAACAACTCTAATTGAAAGTATTGACAATGCTTTAGGAAGGACATTATATTAGTAAGGTACATGTAAGTCTTACTTGTCGTGATATGAGGGAGAATAAGTGATGGCAGGTGGTGCTCCCAGGCTGCGGTACTTGGGTCTCCAGTAGTTCATGGGATAGATGCCGGCGTGCTTTGGTCGCCACACGATCACTGCTACCACCAACATAATCACACAGGCACCCAGGAAGGCAATGATACCTGAGAGGTGAACAGGGTTGTGTAGCTGAAGAACCAACTTGACCAAATCAAAAGTAAAACAAGAGTTGTGTATTTTCTAATGAAGCAAAGGGCCTGGCAATGTCATATCTGAAATACTGCAAATACATGTAATCATGAAAAAATTGGTAATCAGTGCCAGCAGTGGCAACTTAAAGTGACTGTGACATCTACAAGTGACTGTAAGAAAAATAAAATGTATGACCTGTCATTAAACATTTACATCATAAAGGAATTCTTCTGACTCAAGAATTATCTAGCAAAGTGATTAGATTATGAGTTGACTGTACATGACTGTATTTCATTTTTTGTTTCCATTAAAGCTAACTGAACCATCACTGTATTGTCCCTGCTAATGTGCCCAGTGTTGGGGCTGTACCTATGATGAGGCCCCAGTCAGGCTCCTGGTTCCGTGGAGCAGTCTTCTTCACCCCAGCTGACACCAGGTTGTTTTCTGTGGCCGGCTGGATACGAACCACTCCGTCCTCACAGGAGGACCCATTAGCCTTCACTGACACAAAGATCTCACGCCCAGGTTCCTAAACAACAACAGTGTGATGGAGTCATGGTCAGAGAAATACAACAAGCATTACAGTCTACATTAGTACCTATCTGCACAAGGCCACACACACTTTTCATCAAGACATGAACACCATCAAGTATTGTTAGGAACTATCTGACGATACTTCAGAAATGAAATCCAAGACTTCTAGGAAGTATTTTGGGTTTTTGCGACCTCTAAACTTCAGACTTGACCTTGACAGACTCTAGACTAAGATAACTAGAGCACTTTGAATGTGAAGGACTGGCTTACCTGAGCATCGTAGAATGCATACTGCCCCGGATCAGTGAAAACAAAGGCGAACTGCTCCACCGTGACGTTGGTCTTCTCGATGTACTCCTGCAGCTGTCGGAAGGCTCCGTAGTCAAAGCTGGGGTTGGTGTTGAACAGGTGGTCCTTCTGGTACCGGGGGTAGTGACTCTTGGTTCGATCTGAAGAACACAACCAGAAGGCCTTAACTTTTTCAACTTCCACGTATATACAGATTAAAAAAAAAACTTTGCACAAAATTCTGCAGAAAGGCTGCTATGTATTCATTGATAAATTATCTGTCGGAAAATAACATCCAACTCCCAACTTTAACTAAGCACTACTTTAAACATGTACTTCATGCTGAATAGAAGACAAAACTGTTTTATGTATCTGGCTGGGATATGGGAGAGTCGAACTGTACCTGTCTCATTGACTTCCACCTTAAAGATGACCATCTCCTCCACCTCCAGACACAGGAGTGGGTTGGGGATGAGGGGAACGTTGTTCAGTAGAGAGGAGGTGGTCACAGGTACGTCTGTGGTGGTCCAGACTGTGGTGTTGGGCAGCGCTGTGCTCATCAGCAGACGACGGGCAAAGTACGGGGACTCCACGTCTGGCGCACTCCGTCTTCGCCGCGCTGTGGGAGTCCCTGCACCTAAAAGTTCGAGAAGAATCATTTGTTACTACATGACATAGTAATTATAGCAAAACATTTTGATGGTTTTTACAGTGACCTCTCCATCACAAAATCTGCTTCTTACTGTCTACAGTATTGTTTCAACTGCAAACTTTTAAAAATACACTGCAATTATCTCCTACCTCCTTTACCATTCTACTACAAAATAAAGTCTCTGCAAACATAAATGAATTTACAGTACAAGGAAAAGACATCAGCTTCGAATCATTACTTCATCAAGTCAACAGGATTATAACAGATAAGTAACAAGAATTCCGAGATTTCATACCTCCATGAAATATGGGCTTGATACGTAAATGTAAATTTCCTCATTAATTATGCAAATAAAGTCCTCATTTGCATAATTTGCATTTAATCATGTACAACTGTCTCTCAGGTACCTACCTACCAAAAATGATGAAAATACATTGTTCCAATCTGAACTTATTGGCTTTCAAAGTTTTTACCAGAAACTGACCTGCAGTTCCAGAACAAGCTGCTAGGGGGACCAAACTTACGCCACTTATTCCTAACAGGATAAGCTATCTGTCACCAAAAAGTCAAGACCATAGCTTGTTCAGGACAAAAGATACAAAAACCGGAAGTTATGCTGCAGTACCAAGGTCATCCACCAGGAGGCCCATACTTGACCTTGACCTTTGTCTTCCCAAGACTTACCATCATACCAAATATCATCACAATCCATAAAGGCGTTCTGAAGTTATGCTGACTACGAAGTTGCGGAAACACAGACAGACACACACACACACACACACAGACATACATACAGACAGACACGCCAAAAACAATACCTCCATTTTTCATGGAGGTAATAAAAGCTTACCTGAGGTTGTGAGGTAATCGCTATGAGTGGTTTCTGTGTTCAGAACCCCATAGACACCCGAGCTCCCCACAACCACCCAATGGACTGGCTTGTTACCAGACGTGTGCTGGTTGGGGCCAATACAGTTGGGAACAGCCTGGAAACAAAACAAAAGGCTTAAAACTCATCTCAACATGTCTTATCAGTGCACATGTCACTACATTGTAATATACACAGTAATATATATTAAGAATCTTCAGTTACAGTACAAATGCAAGTTAGCCCTGGAGTGTACATTGTACTTACTGCTGTTGTGGTTTGACCAGAAGTTGGGTCAAAAGTGGTCATCTGCAGCTGTCCAGTACTGGTCAGCCCTGCTGTCACCACTGGCTTGGTCTGCACACATGTGCTGTCACAGATCTCCTCAGGCGCAACATACGAGTGACATAGACACCTGCAACATAGAGCCACTATAAGCTACATGTGCGAGTCACACAACTACCTGTTATGTACTGTTACCCTTACACAGTCTGGCACTTTATGTCAAAGCTTACACAAAGAAATGAGTTGAAGTGGCACAACTCTACATAAATGAAATGAGTGCTAACTCACACTCCCAGTTCGATGGAGAGCGAGCCTCCCCTGTCTCCGCAGGTGGGGGTACAGTCGTACTGACTAGGGTACACACACGTACGTGTCCCTGCCAGACGCACCTGGTCCAGGTCACATCGTACATCCACCTGTATCAAAACAAGCAAGTACACATATACAACCCATTACTCATTCAATAAGCAGAACAATCATTGCAACAGTTTAAGGAAGTGTTTTGAGTTTTTGTGCCCAAACTGTTGAGGGGAATGTATGATGTAACTTACATGATTTGTATTACAACACTTGGATTCCTCCACATATGGTCAACCTGGCACATGCTGAGTCACCTTCAGACATGATCTCCCTATCAATCAACTGTCAAAATCACCTCCCACCCACCATACAATCAAAGACAAACAGAGACACAAACCCACAACTCAGCCACTCCAAACAATACATGGAAGTAAGAATATTGATCATGACTCACCCGCGACTGACAGTCTGCATCACTGTTGCCCTCTGTCACCATGAGGTTGGCCTCGTTGTAGTAGACATAACCAGGTTCACAGATGCACGAGCCATCCGACTCCTGGAAGGCACGGTACTTCCCAATACACTCACAGTGGGAGGAACCTAAAGGACAGAAAAAGGTCAGCCTCAAAATGTGTCTACAAAATGTGATTAAACATGTCAGGAGATTTGGGAAAGGAGCAAACTTAACATGATTGAAACAATGATAAGTGCACAGGTTGTAATTTAATGTTTATCAGAATACAGTTGTTCACACTTGGCAGGTTCACACACCTTTAGCAGCAGTGGCAGAGCTTCCACAGGGGAAACATGCCTTCTGTCCGAACAGGTGGTTAAAGGTGTTGACAGGACACTCAAAGCACTGGCCATAGTCGTAGGCCAGACTGATGTTCCCGTAGCGGCCCGGTAGGCAGGGTCTAGGTTCTCCTGTACGGTTGGGACAGTAGTAGCCAATGGGACACGGGTTCGTCAGGTACTGGTCAGTTCCTATAGGAAGGGAGGGAGAGAGACAGGTATCAATGTTTTGTCTTATCTCTAAAACACTGTGAAAACAGATTAGCCCAGAGTTCTGGTGGGCATCACTGCAGTGAACAGCGAGCAAAAAGTGCCTTCCCCAAGGGCATGCCACCAGCCATATCAGAGCATCCATGGTTACCGTTACCGTAATGACTAGGTTGAGAACTAACCTTCAGGACAGTAGTATCCCCCTGGGCAAGGTTCACAGTAGTCCCAGGCAGAGTCGTTCCTGTACGTTCCCACAGGACAGATCAGACAGGCCTTGGACAGCTCATCCCGCAGCCCTGTCACATTGACCGGCATCCAGCCCAGGTCACACGGCCACTGCTGGTCACTACCCTCGGGACAGTAACTCGGGTACTCACAACTGTATCAGATATAAAATATATTCCGTCAGTTAGAATGTTTTGCTGTACTGTAACTGTTTCTACCTATTACAACAACAATTCATGATGTAATAAGGTAGCAGAAAGCTTCATGCTTACATGGTGTAGTTGTTGGATCCCTCTGGACAGTAGTACCCACCAGGACAGATAGGGGATGTCCCTGTCACACCTGGGCAGTAATGACCTGGTCTGCAGATAGTCTCATTCACGGCACCTGGAAATAATTTGTTTAATAATATTACAATGGTCTCATGATCATTTGAACAATCTTAAGAGCTGTACAGAAAAATTGTGAATTCCTTGTTCTGTTCATTATTGTGAATTTCTCAGAAGCACTCCCACCTTCTGGACATTCAAAGTGTGGAGCGCAGGGGAAACCGTTGACATTGGGAATGCCTGCCGGACAGTAGTAGCCAGGTCGGCAGAGTGGACACTCCTCGGGGGCACCTGAACCAGTCACGTTCCTCATCTGTCCAGCAGGACAAGGCTCGGGGTCAGACGCTTCCAGACAGTAGTGGCCAACTGGACATGGGCTCTGAGTGTGGTCACTCATGCCTGTGGACATTCAAGATGGTCAGTTTTGCTGCAGCACTTCAGTTCAGGGACGAAATTCAGAAAAGAGAATTTTACGCCTGAAAGTCTTGCTGAAACAATGTTGCCTACCTGTGACGTTGCACCAGGACCCTGGAGGGCAGTTGAAGCACTCTCCGACATGTCTGGCCCCTGGAACATCCCGGTAGGTGTGGACGGGACATTCCTTGGGACCAGCACCCTCCCCTGGGCTGGTACCATTCACAGAGTCACAGTAGTAGCCAACAGGACACAGGTATGCCGTGGGGTCACCTAGGAAAAGGATAACAAAGAAATTTACATGTAGATTTACATGTTATCACATCAAGCCTTCACATTGTTCCTATATACCTTCAATGATGAGGATCTTAGAATCACACTGAGTTATCAAAGGAGTGAGTCTCTTTATCTGAAATTTTGAGACTGAAGAAGTCATTTCTAGCTTGATATAAGTCAGTGTACATGTATGTCATGTAAGTCATAACTTACTTACAATATACAATATTGATTGAGGACACAATGAGGAGATCTATTAATTTTCTACTATTATATAATACAGCTACATTGATACAATTAAGTCATAATTTTACAGATTCTTGTTTGCCTGTATGATGGACATGTATTGGCCTAAGCTTGTCCTACCTTCTCTACACCACAGTCCTGCAGGACATGGCTCGACAGTCGCTCAGCTGGCTCGCCCCAGGTGTCTGTCGCAGGGTGTTCTCCGGGCAGGGCCAGGGGTCCTGTTCTCCCTCCGTACAGTAGTGTCCCCCTGGGCAGGGTCCCGCACACACGTCCCCGGGGGTACAGGGGTCCTGGTCAGGGTCGGCCGGCGGAGGATCACCCTCAGGGGTGTAGTCATCACTACCGGCCAGACAGAAGTAACCAGCTGCACATGTACCCACCAACTGCCCTCCTCTGGAAAACAACAACTCATAACATCATCAACTGTTTCTTTCTATTCTGGGCCTACCTATAACGATTGTGACTGTGCTATGAAATACAACTGTACTATACTAATTGCTGTAAAGCACTGTTCCAGAGAATGACCTGTACCTGCAGAAGAAGCCTGTTGGACAAGGCAGACACTCGTCTTCTGCCTTCAGTCCTTCTGTTGTGGCATTGGTGTACGTGCCATTGTGGCAAGGGATGGGGTCCATGGTTCCTGCACAAGTATGAAACAGTGATATAACATTATCACAAGTGCAGTGTATATCCATTTAAGACTTAATTGCAAAAGAATTGTACAAGGTACAAATTATGGCATCTTTTGCTATGTAACAAATATATACTATGAGACTAAAAGACTAACTATGTAGCATGGAGTGGGAATGTTCTTTTACGGTCAGTCGTTAAATATCTAGTGTTAGGCATAACTGACCTGCAGGACAGTAGTGGAAGGCTGGGCAGAGTTGTGGTGTTGGGTTGATGGCACTCTGACAGTAGTACCCAGCCCTGCAGGGTATACAGTAGTCTGTCCCGCTGGCCGGCTGGTACTCTCCCACCGGGCAGGGCTCAGGCTCCGCAGAACCCTCGGGACAGAAGAACCCGGGCGGACATTCCAGGTCGGAGGGTGCGGGGGAGTAGGTGGAGTGGTTGGAAGGGCAGTAGTACCCGGCGTGACACAGTCCTGAAGCCGCCGACAGCCCCGAGCTGTTACAGTAGGACCCAGCTGTGCACGGGTGGCACTCCGACACAGAAGCAGCACCTTCAGGACAATATACAAGACAATTTGTTGATTGGTTGAGTGGTTAACAAACCAGAAAATCGTTGCACTTTACATAAAACATTGACACCTATAAATAACATCTACACCAAAATACAGGCAGTGAAATATAGTCACTACAATGTCATAAAGTATCAATTTGGAAACATTAACTGCTGATAGTGTCTTGTACTTTGCATATTGAATATGAAACAAAAATTTGCATATAACCTGTAAATCATATAAGGACAACTCAGATTAACTTTCATGCTAGATGAACTTTCACACTCACATAAAGAAAAATTCATTTAAGCCTAAGACTTACAAAATGCATGGTAGTGGGTAAATTTTAGAGTACTGTCTTCACCTGTTGTATCCCTGAGTGTGCCTATAGGACACGGCACAGGAGCCGGCGTTCCCTCATCACAGTAGTGCCCCAAAGGACACACCCCGTTGTCCGGGTACTTGGTGTTATTTGAAGCTGGCACTTTGTCACTGGCACCTCCATAGCAAATGTAACCAGCCTGACAAGGACCTGTAGGGGTGACAAAAGAGTTGCCTTCATTATAGAAAGATACAGTGTACATTCAAACCTGTACTAGTGACAGCTAGCAAAGGATTTATTCTATCTTGACTGACTATATTGGTTCCATCCTACATCAGGATAAACAGTGGCTATTTGACCCACCTGTAGGGAAGGAGTTCCCAGGTCCAGCACAGTAATAACCAGCCAGGCAGTCGTCACACTCACTCTCTGTGCTCAGGCCTGTCTTGTTGTTGTATGTGCCCTCAGGACAGGGCACCGGAGAGGGCACACCTTCAGGACAGTAGTGTCCTACACAGGAATGGGAGCTTCATATTAGTGTTGTTCCTTTACATTCAATGAATGTTAGACATACAGGTAATGAGATAAAGTAACAATCCTGCATGTATCATACAAAACTCAGCTAACAAAAAATGACCTATGACAAATGTGACGTAAACTTAAGAACAACTCTGTCCTTTCATTCCACGTGAACCCAATGCAGTGCAGAGTAAGAGATGCAGGTCTGACCTGACTTGCATGGCTCTGGTGAAGTCATGTTGACCTGGTCACACATGTACCCGACTGGACACACTGTACAGTTGGCCTGTCCTGGGTTGGGGTTGTAGTATCCAAATTCACAGCCTGGAGGAGGAGAACCAACCAAGTCAAACAACGCTTTGTTTCCTCATTTACAACTTCTTCTCATTCAAGGAAACTGAATGTAGGCAGATTTAGATACGTGAAGCATGATTCTGTGGTTTGTACATAAATGCTAGAAGTATGTAACTTGAGGACCAGGTTGCTGCTTTGGTGCACTTAGTTTTATGGAGTGACTGTCATATTTAAAAGTTTTTCTCAGTGCCCTCTGCTTCTATTATGTCCACATGGTACATGTATTTTTCCCTTAATATGTCTAAGACCCAAGGAAGTAAGTTAATTGGCGCAGCCTCACCAAATACATGTGCTGCGATTTGAAGAGTGCCTAGAATGGATCGAAAATAAGGACATGGTCTTGCATATTTGATTATCTTTGATTTTTTTTCTAGTAGACATAGAGAAAAATGTCCCCTCACCTAGCTCATACAGAGTTCCTGCTGGGCAGTAGAAGCCAGCAGGGCAGATGTAGCCCATGGCAGGGTCTGTAGGTCGGGGGGTTGTACTGCCTCCAGTGCACACAAACCTGCAACGTTAACAACTAGTCAGCAAGGTCACATGTCTACTGTTTTTATACAAGACTAACCTAAGGCTACATCTTTGACAGAAACGTACAGTACAAGGATGGTTAAAGATAGACGCATGTACAATAATGTAGTCCAATGCAACTGCTCTTTCTGTGGAAATTGGAGCTTTTAGACTTCCAGGAAGTATGCTATCCCAGCTTCCTGATTTTCCCCATATAGATCTCTGCTGACTCCAGGCCAGATTCTGAGCCCTTTGATCTCCTGTCTTTCTGTCAATCTTCTCCCACCCATGTGCTGTCAACCTACTAACCTACAGCTTAGCCACTCGAAACAACACTTCTGTATCTAAAAATATCATGATAGTGTGGTGGATTTTGAGGCTATCATTAATCTATGGGTTTGAATGTTGAATGTTACCCTTCATCACAGGGAGGGGCAGCATCAATGTTGACGAAGCCCAGCTGGCTGCAGTACCGGCCCCGCTCACAAGGCTCGCAGCCCTCCTCACCGGTCACTCCCTTGTTGTTGGAGAAGGTGCCAGCAGGACAGTCCTGTGGGTAGGCCGTCCCGTTGGGGCAGAAATGTCCGATCGGACACTCATCGTTCCCTGTGAAGGTGACATTGTTGCTGGCATCCACCTGGAAAAAAGAACAGTTAGGGAATGAGTCATCTGATGCAGTTAATCACAGATGCTTTGATTTGACAACTTCACAACCTCAGACACAAAGTTTGGTCAGAGTTGTAACTGCTAACATGCTGATCCGCATGTCAAACAAATTTGAGGTGTGGAGTTACTTATCATTAAAGGAAAACTATGTACTGAACTACAACTTTAAGCATAGTTAACAATTGAAGTTTATCATTATACATGCCCATGATAATAATATGAAAAATACCTTCTCTTTGTATAATAAAGTTTGACGACCTACCCCATCCTTGAGTGGTGTTGGGCTTGAGGCTCCCCCTGTGCAGTAATACCCAGCATAGCACTCTGCAGTCGGTACACTGAGCCCGGGGGTTTCACAATAGGACCCTGCCGTGCACTGGGCACAGTCTGACTCCTGGGTCAGGTTCATAGTAGCGCCATACGTCCCTGGGGGGCAGGGGAAGGAGGTGCTGAGGGGGGTGCCGGGCGGGCAGTAGTACCCCTGGGGACATGGGTCAGGTGTCACGACAGCCACTCCTGAAACAACAGAATACCGTGAGCCTTGAGATCTTTGCAGTTGTTTTATTCCGGCACTATTCACAGTGACCTCTCTATCATGATACGGTGAATGATTAAGTATTCATTTCCAATGTAACTTTAGTACTGTAACAGAATTGTTAGAATATAAAAACATATTGGACAAATAGACACAAATTAAAATAGATTGGATAAATACATGTAGATACATAAACCCATTGCTCAGCCAACAAAACAATATTTCCATTTATGTAAACAAGACAGTTGATAGTCTGCTTTGAATGTACAGTAGACATACTAAGTACATGTAACTTTACATATCCATGATGGTTGAATGACACTCACCATTGTTGGGGTCACAGTAGTACCCAGCAGGACACACATCACAGTCCCTCTGACCCTGCTGTGCCTGGTACGTGCCGTTGGGACACAGGACAGGTTCGGGGAAACCCTGCTGACAGTAGTGTCCACGGGGGCACAGGAAGTCAGGAGGAGTGGGGGTGGCCTGCCCTGATGGACAGTAGTAACCTTCCCCACAGGGGCCATCCACATCCGCATTACCATCACCTGGTGAGAGGCGATATAATATACTTTTGTCATTCCACAAAATAGAACACTAAGTAACAACACTTCAGTATTAGGGACACTGCAGAGTAATTAAAGTTTGTCAAATATCAAGCTGAAGAGGGTCCCGGGCAACAGACTGATCCAATAGCCCCTCCCACTTCTGTCAAAATGTAGACATGCAAATTTAGATAAAAACATAAAAAGGGAAATATTTGACAGACATGCAGCCACTCTCTCAATGGTCAAACTGATAAATGCCATGGTGGACAGTCTGGATCAGTCCATACCACTCCAGAAAATACAACATACTTCTGACTTGTAGATTGAGTAACATTTAAATAAGTTTTTAAACGTAGCTTGAGTAGTTTTTAAAGCAAGTTACAATGTATGGCCTCACCTTCACAGAAGAAGCCAGCCGTGCAGTTGAGACAGTCTGACAGTCCATCATTACCAGCAGTGCGACTGTAGGTGCCGGCAGGACATGGGACGGGCACAGTTGTGTTTGTGGGACAGTAGTGACCAGCTGGACAGACGTGCTGGTCTGGTCGGTCACTGGTGTGGTTACAGTAAAACCCTGCATGGCAAGGGCCTGGAAAAACAGTTTTTGGCAACCAGTTAGATAATCCCAAGCATGCCCATAGCTTGCGACCACACGATGATCATAATTTATGTTGAATATGATCGGTCTCTTACAAACTTTAAGGTAATCCATGCGAATTGTGTGTGTCTTAGCTACACTTTATAATGCGCACTTTTCCTCCCCTATGGAAAGTAAATATACACAACATGGTGTATTCCCTATCACCCAAAGTTAAAACCTGAGAAAACAGGCCTTTCAATGCGAAATGAGCCAAAATTTGGTGTCCCTAAATTAAATAATGCAACAACACCAATTCCAATGTCTAAATCCAGTATAATTCCAATTTTCAAAAGTAGCACACATGGTTCACACAAAATGCATTCCAATTATTGTACGGAACATTTGGAAGTCCGTGTGAAAACCAAATAGATCCCTGGGCTGTACTGCTAGTTATCACATGGGCCAGAACACCCATATCGAACGTTATCGCAGACCAGATATGACATAATAGAGTTTATAAGAAACAGTTGTACCTGTTGGAGCTGTAAGACCTGGAGTCTCACAGTACATGCCTCCATCGCAGGGCAGGGCTGTAGGGGACCCGTACGGGCAGTAATACCCGGGTCCACACAGGCCGCCTGTTGTCATGGCATTGTCAGGGCACACACAGTCGTACAGGGGGTGGCACGTGTCATTACCATAGTTTGTACTAAAAAGGGTGGAGAGGTATTTGTTACAAACTATGCTCTTGAACTTGGACCAGGTTCTGTCCTAGCTACACAATGTTGGGACTATTGACTGGTATAGAAAGATACTTTTCTTTATTGTTTTTATCATGATTGTTACCATCAATTTTGTTATTGATATTTTTTGTATGTCAAATTCTTGTTTGTTTGTATGTAACTGTGTTATTTGTGACCCCAGGCCCCACTGCAAAAGCAATGGAGTTAGGCCACCCTGGTTAAAAATGTCAGAAATAAAGAATGAATAAAGCTCATCACAGATACATGAACCTGTGTCAATTACTTATACCTGTGTTTTACACTGAAGCACATGATATTGTATAAAGCTATCATAATAATTCAAGCCACACTGCAAATAATTGATTGTTATTTCACAGTAGAATACATTCAATTCAATAAGAACGTTGTATCCATGCGTACATTGGTGCTGCAGTGGGAGACAGAGTAACGGTCACTCCCACATCAAACGGCCGGTGACTGCTGGACGCTCCGCTGCAGTAGAATCCCTCGTCACACCAGCCTGAGGGCTGGACCAGCCCCAGCCCCTCACAGAACATCCCCGGGGGACAGGCCGGGCAGTCCGACACGTTGTGCTGACCTGAGGACGGGGGGTTCAAGATCAAGAACATTACTCTATCAGATTCAGAACAATGAATCCTGACATTCAGCGAAAGACTTTGCAAATTTTAAAAATAAAGCCACATATTTGTGTTAGTTAACATCATGTAACATTACCATATATGAAAAAAAAAACAGGCAAGGTGTGCATTGCTTGTTCATGACTTTTGAGCAAAGAATAAGATAAAACTACTATTAGGCAGATTCTCACAGTATGCCGTAGAAGGTCGTGCATCCATACATACCTGTCTTGTTGTTGTAAGTCCCAGCTGGACATGGGTACTGCTGGTCAAACTCTGTCCCCTCTGGACAGTAGTGACCAGGAGGACACTCCACTGGTGTGACTGTCTGATTTACACAGTAGAAACCTGGGGGGAAATAAAGGGGATAGGTTGACTAAAAACAGCAAGTTATCTTCTAGAAACCAAAATATCACAGAAAAATATGGGGAATTTCTTTACATAAGTTGGTAATGAGAAGGCAGTAATGCACATGCTAAAACTAAATACTAGTTTAATTCTATGGTTTTGGAACAGCCGTGTCACACATACCAGGTGGGCATGGGTCACACTCTGCCAGGCCGCCCTGACTTGCATATTTGCCCGCTGCACACTCTTGAGGATTGGCTGAAGCCTGGGGACACTGATGTCCAGGTGGACACTTCCCACCGACCCCAGTGTTGATGCCTTCTGGTGTGGACACGTTCACACCTGCAAGTGACCGTAACAAGCCATGGTTGAGTAACTACACAAAGTCTGTACATGTGTGATAGAGTGAAATGATACACTGTTTACACAATTTTAACAGACATGTAACACTTATCACTTTTACTGAGATGGTACACAGCAGCCAACATTTCAGCACCTTGGAGAGGATTCATACAAATGACAAAAGGCAACTGTTACAGCACAAACCAAATGTCAGTACTGCTGTTCTTCACTCACCACTGGTACAATAGTATCCCGGGTCACAGTTCCCAGCTACGTCATCTAACCCATCTGTGTCGCAGAACTTGCCACCAGAGCAGGGCGTGCAGTCTGACTCTGTCTCCAGGTTGGTTCGGGCACCAAAGGTTCCTGCATCAAAGAAGGACTTTTTAAGGAAAATCCTTCACCAAAACACTGTTTGGAAGTTGGCAGACAAGTAGTGCTATGCCTAAAAATAAACCTTGCAACAACTAAAAAATACAGAATTTAGCTGACCAGCTGGACATGGCTGCAGGTCAGTGCCTGTCCCTGGGGGACAGTAGAAGCCCTGGACACAGTTGTCAGCCGTTGAGCCCCCGGAGCAGTAGTACCCAGCAGGACACACCATGCACTCTGATGCTCCAGTGTCGTTGGCGTAAGTTCCATTGGCACACGGAGTGGGCCAGTAACTTTGTGCTGGGCAATAGAAACCTCTAGGACAGATGTCTCCTGTTGTACCGTCTGTGGAAAATCATTTGCTTGTAAATACTTCAAACTAGTGCAAAGTATGAAGTCATTATGAATGTACCTCAGAAAATGACAAAAATAGAACATATCTTATACACCATGTAATATTACTTTGTATGAAAAAACATCAGGTAACAAGAGCTTTTATGATCATTTGTGATTTTCATAAGCCCCATATGAAACTTCATCCTATGGGTAATATGGACAGATCATGCTTTCAAACTAGCTGAAAATTTTATTTTATATGTCAAAAATTTGGGACCCAAGAATCACCAACAATTATTTTGGCAAAACACTAACTTCTTAATATCTTTTATGTCCCAGACAGTATGATATGTTTTTCAACCCAACACATTGCTTCCCCTACAAGTGGTGTTGTTCAACAAACAAAGAAACAAACAAACAAACAAAGAAACAAATTCTCATACCACTTGGGTTCTGCACACTTGCTCCTCTGATACAGTAGTACCCAGGCAGACATTCTCCAGTCACATTAGGCTGGCCTCCCTCCTGGCAGTAGTACCCTGGTGTACAGTCCACACAGGCACTACTGTTGGTCTTACCTGTAGAAAGTTACAGTCAGTGCAATGTCAGAAGTTCTAATCAGATCGCAAGGAAACTTAAACCCCGGCTGCTGCACCGTGAGATTGAGAAAGTTTGTTAGTCTACATTATCTCTCTAAGTCCTTTACAGCATGCAACACCAGCCTGTTTACAATACCAGTGACTCTTTACAGAATGAGACAAAGAGCACAACACAGACAAAACATAATTCAATTTAAAACAGCCACAGACATTGTGCAACACAACATACACACTGGTACCAACTGCTACCTTCCCTTAGTCCTCCACCACAACTAACTGTGCCATTGTAGACTGTAATTACCATTTTTCAATTTACACAATTTAAGCCTACAGTGATGCAATATGACAGAGAAGCGTACACGTGCACCTTGTATAAAAAAGGGACCCAAATTGGTCCTGATTGACAGCTGACAATCTCAGTTTTGCATTTTTCTAATGTAAGTAAGACCTCCAAAGTGCTGAGGTTTGAAATTATTAATGACACAAATAATTTGGCTGTTTTAATTCATGAGTGTCAACTGCAAACAGCGGACAAAAAAGACACCTTTCCATACAAAACCACTGAGAATGATGCCTTAAGTGCAAACCTCGAGCTGCAGTAGTCAATGTAGCCATAAGTACAAGGGAGAAAAAGAGAAAGATACATGTAAGTCGTTAGACATCAGTCTATACAATGTGCTTCTGTGAAGCACTTTTTATGATGCTTCTTGCAGTACATGGATCTACACAAATATCTATGTAATGATTATTATAAAATTATGACATATAACAAAGTTGGTGCTAAATTAAACCATAGATGTTGAATTGTGCTTGATAAAGATATGATGTCCTTGATTCAAATTGATGTCATTAGCAAGCAATATTCATAAAATATGTAAACAAAATGTTACCAATCCACAAAGACATCATGATAATGGACAATAGTTTGAGAGCAAAGTCATTTACATTGCATACAGTAGATGACAAGAAGTCCAGAATGAAAAAAATGTTGATTTTACTAAAAAGAAATCAGAAAAGAAAACTCTCAAGAATGCTATCATTTATATGGTTAGATACACAGATCAATTTGCTGTGTGCTAACTGCATGAGACAACTGAGCCTTACCTTCAGTGGGTTGGAATGTGCCGGCAGGACAGGGCACAGGGTCAGGGGTTCCCTCTGGACAGTAGGCACCACTAGGGCACAACATGGGGTTGGGACTGGTGGAGCCCACTGCACAGTAGAACCCTGCATGGCAGGGCTGGTAGGGGGCTGTGAGCCCAGGACGGTCACAGTAGTACCCGGGGTCACAGAGTGGGCAGTCTGTGGAGGCACGCAGGCCGGTCTGGTTGCCATAACTACCAACTGGACAGTCCGTCCCTGAGATGTGGAAAGGTTGAGACCATTAGAGAATTAGCTGAGTCACATTCTCTGACATGCCACACAAACTTGTAGTTTCTTTGCCGTTTTTAAACATAAGAAAACTATGAAGAATATGATGTACACTGTGTAGACCACAAACTGATCTGGTAATGTGGCATGAAAAAGCTTAATGCAACTTACAAAACTGTCATGATGCTGAAAACTGACCTATTTCCGATCCCTCTGGACAGTATTGCCCCTGTGGGCAGATGTCTCCTGTGGGACTGTTGGTGGGTGTTGGGCTGTCCGCCCCTCCGGAACAGTAGAAGCCAGCAGTACAGTTCCCTGTGGGGGACGTCAGGCCAGCGTCCAGACAGTACATACCGGGGGGACAGGCAGCACACTCAGCTGTAGGGAGCACACAACACTGCTCAGCATTTCATTCTACTAACTTTGGGGTGCGTTATTATTCGAGCTAGTGAAAAATAACCTGGAAAACAGGTGTAAATAGTAAAACAATGTTACACTATTCAGTCCTACATTGATGACATGTTACAGCCAAATTATGGTTCTTTTTAAATAATAACTTAAAGCCATGATGCATTTCAAGTAATCAGTACATGACTGTATGTCTCATTCACACTGTCAATAGTTACATATCAATCATAAACATGAGACATACTCTCTGAGCACACAACAAACAGTAGTCTGGTTTTGTTTTCATTGTAAAGAGAAGTGAAGCAGGCCCACCTGTACTAGACAGTGAGGTCCTGTTGCTGTAGGTGCCTGCAGGACACTTGTTCTGGGTGGAGTACTCCGTACCATTGGGACAGTAGTGCCCGGGCACACATGGTTCAGGGGTGATCACCCCTGTCACATTGTTCAGCTCGTGTGGATCACAGTAGGACCCAGACGGACACACCTCACACAGGGCCTGGCCGGGATGGGACTGGTATGTTCCTGCAATATGGCATCAGGACTTCAGGCATAAGGTTTCTCTCATTCATTCAAGTTATTCCTTTGCAGTGCAGTATGGCTAAAAAACCCTGTCTTAGATCCTTGTCAGTGGTTGGTTCTGTCACAGCTTGAAAATTCTATGGCATTAACTCATACAATGTCCTTCAACAAATGTGATCATGCTTGTTGGCATTGACTGACATCTAGATCTTAGTTAGCTTGGTTTTAAACCAGGGTATTCATACCTCTTGCACATCAGCAACCCAAAAACCAAGGGCAACTTAATGTGCTCATAATCACAAAGCTTCTAAGAGGTTGTAAAGACTCTTTTATGATATAGTTCTTATACATGTACAGTCCAAAGATGTTCCATACCTCTGTCACAAATCTCAGGTGTTGCACTTCCCTCAGGACAGTAGAAGCCAGCTGGACAGGTGTACTGGGCAGGTGTGTCAGTTATCTGGCCGGCTGGACAGTAGAAGCCAGGTGCACACGGTCCAGATGGTGTCACCAGACCCTCCCCGCTGCAGTAAGAGCCTGACATGTGTGGACAAAATGTAGAATCATTATTTTATTTCCTACACATTCCTGCTGAAACAAAAAATAATAAAATTTTGTTCCCCTACGGCGATGATCGTAGTATAGTGGTAGAAAGGAAACTAATGTGGTAGCCTTGAGTGTAGTTGTAGTAATACTATTCTATACACTTGTGTCAATTTCTCCACTAAGTCTTCTTGAATATAGGAATAGAAGACTTGTTAGTTTTAATACCATGTCTTGTCACCTCAATTCTTGTTACAATGTTTATGGAGTCTATTTTGAAAATCTAGTCATTCTGTTGTTTTTTTACCCATCTTGCTCTTCCTCATCAGATTTGGAGTCTGCAGACAATGTCATCCACAAATTTTACTTGCTACATGTACATGTTATGACTGACCTGGAGTACAGAGGAGGCAGTTGGACAGCTGGGTGTTTTTTAGATGTGTTGGAGAAGGTTCCGTTGGGACAGGCTGTCTGGACAGGTGAGCCCTGCTCACAGTAGTGTCCTGGTGTACAGGGGAACTCTGCAGGGTCCGGCACGGTCACACCAACTCCCACTGGACAGTAGTACCCCGCGGCACATTCCGCTAAAGGGACAACATGTCATACAGAACTGATCAATGTTTATAATGGTATGGATCTTGGACACTGATCCATCACTTCAACAGCATTTTCCAACTTGTTTAAAACTTGGTTGCACATGGACATGCTTTTGCTATACCTATGCAAAGCAAGGAACACACTGTGCTTGAAGCAGAATGCATTGATTGTAGCAAATTTTAACATCTTACAGAAGTACCGTCCCTATATGTTCAACATTAGACGTCTAAAGGCTTTAGGATGCTGGGTAAGCTGATATGAGTAGAGTGCACTTTAGAATTTAGCTGTACAATCTGTAGTAGGTACAAAGAAAGCTTTAAACGGTATATACTAGGGCATTATGTTATGACTTAATTGTTACCTGTTGGTGTAGACAGCTCATATCCCTGGCAGTACCAGCCACCATCACACTTCCTTGGAGCGGTGGATCCCTCCGGACAGTAATGCCCGGGAGGACAGCGGTTCCCAGTGTACGCTATCTCAGAACAGCTGCACATGGACACGTCGCTATAGTTGGCTGGAAGGTCGCAGGCCGTCACATTACCTGTGGAGAAATCATGGGAAAAACATGAACTTCAACTGACCAGTAAGCAGGTCTTCAGTCTTTGTTTTTGACTACTGTTAAATTATTGAGAGATGTCACTTCAATGTACATGATGTATGTACATGTGTACATTGTAGTACCTGGAGGTAGAGGCTGTGCTTCACTAGCGCCCCCTGTGCAGTACCAGCCAGCACTGCAGTTTCCAGTCGGCTGACTGAGCCCATCTCCCTGACAGTACTGTCCTGGGTCACACAGCACGCAGGCAGAGCTGTTCTGCTGGCCCTCTAGAGGGTTGTAGGTCCCTGCCAGGCATGGATACCTCTCTCCATACTCCGTGCCTGCTGGACAGTAATGACCAGTGGGACAGATGTTGGCGTACGGATCGCTGGTGTTCAGGTAGCAGAAGTACCCAGCAGGGCAGGGATCGCACGACGCTCGTCCTTCCTGATAGTTGAAGGTGCCTGCCTCACACGCTCGAGGCGCAGCAGTTCCCGTGGGACAGTAGTAGCCGGGTGGGCAGATGCCCCCCACCCCGGTGTTGTTAAGGCCATTAGGAGTGGCAGTGTCGACACCCTCTATACAGAAGTGGCCAGCAGCACAGTCAGCTTCTGGAGCAGGTAGTCCTGGTGTGGAACAGTAACTCCCACCTGCAGGGACAACAGATGGGATGACATGTTGCACAAAATTTTCTCACACTTTCTTGTAACAAGACCATCAGTATTCTGGCAAACCGGTGTAATTCCACTACAACAAATCTTATTCCAAGAGATTTCAATACTTCCGTGAAGTATTTTGGTTTTTTTTGTGACTTTTAAGTTCACCCTGTTTCCCGTGTCTGACTTTTTGAGCTCCTGTCATTATGCCTGTGAATCCTCTCTCACACACATGCTATCAATCTACTCTCAAGTTCACCCCATTTCCTATATTTTGTATGATCCATGTGCTGTCAACCTACCCTGACCGCACACACACACACACAAACCAACAGCTCAGCCACCCAACACAATACTCCCGTACCCTGGGAAGTAAAAATGTGACGAGTGTTCAGCAGATTTACCTGCACATTCTGTACAGTCAGCCTCCTGTCTGAGCCCAGGTGTCCCTCCATAGAAGCCTGCAGGGCAGGGCCACAGGTCAGCCCCTGTTCCCTCGGGACAGTAGTACCCCTGGGTACAGTTGTCGGCCCTGTCCCTGTTCACACAGTAGTAGCCAGCAGGACAGACGTAACAGGCGGAGGCTCCGGTGTGGTTCATGAAGGTCCCGTTACCACAGGGTACCGGAGAGGGAGAACCCAACTCACAGTAGTGACCCTCAGGGCAGATGTCACCTGTAGTGATTGAACATTCACTGTCACTGAAAAACGCTGATGCAAGTCCCTGATAGTTGACCTCTCTACAACAAATCTATGACATCATGAAATCATATACATTTTCAACATTACTGTTCTACAGAATCGTTTCATTCACAGATCTTGAAAACACCACCTCCTTTCCTTCCTGCTGGAGTAAAACACCACAATAAATCTACAGTATGACAGTCCTACTCCTGACCTGTAACTCCGTCTGTAGGTGTGCTGGTGTTGGCTGCCTGCTGACAGTAGAAGCCGGCGGCACACTCTGCAGTCACATTCGTCTGGCCAGGAGTCTCACAATAATAACCTGTAAGACAGACAGACATAATGTGTGAGTTTAGTGGGTTGACTTGGAACAAAAATGGTGCAGATATTTAGTTTGTTCATTGCACAACCCTCTAATGATGGCCAAATTTCTCAATTGTTTCCAGGTGTTTGATCCACAAACGTGAGTCACATGTCCACAAGGTCGGGTGAAAATGATTTGTACTATATTGTACCTAGCTTTGGTTTGGGATGTTTTATCTGGTCTAATCTGTGTTTGTGGACAGCCAAACTTCAACCAATGTTAAAGAACCCACCAAACTTATCGAACAGAATAGGCGACTAATCCCAGTGAGATTAGATCAAACCTTACTGTCTAGTCTTATGCAGCTTGACTTACTGTACAGAACTGGACCAGATGTGTTACACCTAAAGGCAGTTTACCAGTTATGTGAAATAAAGAAACAAGACTTACCTGAGCTGCAGTCTACACAGTCTGATAACTTCTCCATGGCGCGGGTTGGCAGGAAAGTTCCTGGCGGACAGGCGACCGGTGTGTCCGTGCCGTTCGGACAGTAGTGTCCAGCTGTGCACTCGTCACCAAAGGTCTCCCCCACGGGCTTGGCCTGGTCAGAGCCTTCCAAACAGTAGTGCCCTAATGGTGATACAGGGAATCACAGTCAGCACCAGGGACAAGGAAACACAGTCAGCACCAGGGACAAGGAAACACAGTCAGCACGAGGGACAGGGAAACACAGTCAGCACCAGGGACAGGGAAACACAGTCAGCACCAGGGACAGGGAAACACAGTCAGCACCAGGGACAGGGAAACACAGTCAGCACCAGGGACAGGGAAACACAGTCAGCACCAGGGACAGAGAATCACAGTCAGCACCAGGGACAGAGAATCACAGTCAGCACCAGGGACAGGGAAACACAGTCAGCACCAGGGACAGGGAAACACAGTCAGTACCAGGGACAGGGAAACACAGTCAGTACCAGGGACAGGGAAACACAGTGGCATATTTTCCCATTTTGCAATCTTTTTGAAGGGAAACAAAAATTAATGCAGGCAGATATTATCTATGTATTAATCAAGTCCGGGCTGACTACTAAGCAAGTAAGATTAAAAACAGTATTGAAGAGAGAGAAAAACTCAGTCCACAAGTCTAATTGACATCTCACCAGCCCAGCATTGTCCGGACTCCTGGGTAAGACCAGTGTCAGCACAGTAGTGGCCGGGGGTGCAGGCTCTGCATTCAGACGCTTCCGTCAACCCTGTCATATTACTGAAGGTTCCTTTGGGACAGCCTGCCCCAACAACACTCCCTGTAAACACAGCAATACATACATTAAGGAATCAAGGTACAACATAATTTGATTACATAATACAAAATAAATCGAGGAAATGGACAAATTCTCTTAAGAGTCAGACGTTTCAGATATCCACTGTCTTTCACCGTTGACTGAGAATTAGTCTTAAAATGATAGAATGATAGTCTGCACATGCATATTCCTTTCCAATTCCTTCTAGAATTTCTATTTTTAACACTAGTGAAATTTGTACTGATATCCATGCAATAGTGAAGTGTATGATTGTGTGAAGTGTTTATTACCTGATGGACAGTATCTGCCTTCAGGACAGATGTCTCCTGTGTCACCATCAGTAGGAGTAGAGTTCCAGGCACCAAGAGTACAGAAGTACCCAGCAGTGCAGTTGTCTGTAGGCTCAGTGTTTCCTGGGACAAGATTACAAATTATACAACAGCTGTTGAAATTTATTCATATCAATGGGATATAGATACTAAAATATAATTGTGACACATTTTCTGTAACTGATCTATCAAAGCAAGTCTACTTTGATCCGATTCTTTTTTAAAACTTCACATCAATCTTTAAACTTTCTACATTAATACCAGATGATCACAACATAAACCACTGGAGGTTAAACTTTAGTACTAATAATTCACGTGTTGTATGAAATAAACTTACAGCAGCAAGACTGCCAAACTCCATATGATTAATATATGATAATGTTGCTGATGTGTTACCTTGACCTTGACAGAACATGCCGGGATCACAGGGTGTACACTGTGTGTGATTGGCCAGGCCGGACCTGTTGCTGTACGTTCCCTCCGGACACAGGAACTGGGAGGCAAACTTGGTCCCTGCTGGACAGTAGGAGCCGGGCGGGCACACCGCGGGGACAGACACCCCCCGCAGGCTGCGGTAGCGGCTGCTGAAGTTCCCGAATGACGTCGTGTTGTCGTAGTCAAGGACCTCATAGTCACCTATGGGGAATTCATGGGAAATATAATTCTATCATGACCAATACATAGATAAATGCAAGTCCAAAACTTGCGCGTAATGTCTGGTACTAAATATAATTCCACCAGGTCACATGATCTGCCACCATGAAATAATCTGTGTATAAATCTCCAATGCAGCCTCAGCCAGACATTGAGTACAATGCACTCCTGTACATCTTTGTGGGTGATGCACTAGAGATCCCCAACAAACTGTTAATTAATATGGTGGATCATGTATGTGTATGTAACCTGGTGGTCGAATCAAAATTTGTGGTCAAATCAAAATTTGTTTCAGCTGTGTAAGCTGCCTCACCATATGCCTGACAGTAGAAGCCCTCTTCACAGACATCACAGGTGCCACGGCCCCAGTGTGGCTGGTAGTAACCACTGGGACAGCCGGTCTGGTTCCAGCTGCCCTGCAGACAGAAGTGTCCGGGGCTGCAGGCCAGGTCCATGGGCTGGGAGGTGTTCTGTCCACCGGGGCAGTAGTAACCCACAGCACAGGGGGCACTGGGACTGTCCATGTCCCAGTCACTGCAGTAAGAACCAGGGGTGCAGGGGGTGCACTCTGAGATGTTGGCATTTCCTTCTTGGTCTGCAAAAGTGAACAGGCAACTCTTAAGATACACCTCAAATCTTCATGTAAATTGGTGGAATAAATTTAAGACAGTATTGATTGTGAACACAAACTGGAACTAACTACATGTGTTGTACATGATTCCTGAACCTTGATTCCTGCAATGGATATTGTAGTTACAGCTGCATTGTTTTTGTTTCAGAGGTTATACTGAATTCGTTTTGTAATGTACAATGTGCTCTGTGATATGTTATGTGAGGTACACAATACCAGCAATTGCTGCCTATACTCCTCTTGTGTGCTACAGATGCAATCTACATAATTTAGTCAAACCAAATTGAAGTGTCCTAAGCAAACCTGCGTATGTCCCAGCAGGGCAGGGCATCTCCATGTCAGTTCCCTCAGGACAGTAGTGCCCCGTGGAGCAAGGCTGTGGGTCTCTGACCTCAGCACTGCCGTTGCAGAAGAAGCCAGCAGAACACGGTCCTGATGTGGCATCCAGCGCATGCTGCTCACAGTACTGACCCAGGTCACACGGAGTGGGGCGTTGTGACCCCTCTGGGCAGTACGTACCTGACAACAAAACAACACTGTTAAGAACAAGGATCAGAGACTCACAGGGAGCATTGAAGGGTCCCTCATGCAACCTTGGCAATTTGCCCAAGTTGATCTTTTTCACCTCCTCATTCTGCTTGTCAATCTTAACCCCAACCTACTACTCTGTACGGACAAACAGACACACAAACCCACAGCTCAGCCACCCAAAACAGTACTTTCATGCCTAAAAATAAATGCACTACAGCAATAGTAGGATGTGCAATGAATCCATGTGATGCAGCAGCTTCATATTATCTTCTGGACAAGCCCAATACAAAAACAGTCTGTAACAGTAGTTGAAAAAGTATGTCACAGTGCATGTCATCACTATCTTATTTGATACTAAGAAGTTTCATTTGAACTTGAGTCAACAAAACCTGCTAAGTTAAACATACACATAGTGCCACGTACAGAGAGGGTTTAATAAGAAAGTGTGTTACCTGGTGTACAGATGCCACCAGTGAAGTTGAGGGAGTAGACTGGGCATTCTGTATCCACGCTGTAGGAGTCGCTGGTGTTAACGTAGGGCGAGGGCTTGTCACTGAAGGCACCACCAGAGCAGTACCACCCAGGTGCACAGTCACCTGTGGGTCTGGACAGACCATCCCCTGCACAGTACAGACCACCTGTAGGGAAGAGGGGCAACTTACAGTCAGGCATACCAAACATGTCATACTTATGATCATGAAGTGATATCCTGCTGGCTTATCAAAGATCTGATCTGTAAACTTAAGGAAGGTTAAAGTAAGTCCCATAGCCTTTGACCCGTAGGAGCAGTGGCTTCAACTGTTAATCTAACTGTTGTCTAGGGTATGGCATTGGAAGGTGGAGTCCATCCCTCTCCTTCCTGCACCTTTTACCTCCCCAACTTTGTTGGGTACCTATATTGTACACCTGGTTGGAGTGAGGACAGTCAATGCTTTTTTAGAACACAACATCTTGCCAGGAATGCAAGGAATTGAACCTGTCAATTTTCAAGCTCATGTCTGCCAGCCCATCCACAAGGAGATTCAATACCACAAAGATCTGCTAGGAAAAAATTCTACATATTGTAAGCATTAGCTACATTAAGCATGTTATTGGGTTTTAGCACATTATATTCTTACCTGGGCATGGCAGGCAGTCAAAAGCACTATCAGCAAGAGTCCTGTTGTTGTAGGTGCCTGCAGGGCAGGGGTACTGGGTCGGGCTGGCTGTCCCTTCAAGGCAATAAAATCCTGAAGGAAACAAAGAAAACATGACTGTTTAAATAGTGGATGTCCTCTTGGATGGGACCTTATCCTTTTTTTTATTAACTTCAATTTTCACCTCAAAACAAGGCTCATACGAACCACGTCTTACAAGTTTTGGGTTACATTAAGGAACTGTAGAGACAGATGTTTGTTCACCCTAGACTTGAAAAGTTTAAGGCTGTACCTATTTGGGAAGCATTCACAAGGAAGCTTGTTCCTCTGTACCAGTACATTTGTATCTGTGCCTCATGTGATGTTAAGTTACACAGCACTATCATGTACATGAGACAGCATCTCACCTGTCCAACACGGGGTGTCCACATAGGTAGTGGAGTTGACAGGACAGTAGTAGCCTGGAGGACATGCTGTACAGTTGGCCTGCAGGGTCCTGTCATTGTACGTGCCTGCCTCACAGCCGATCGGGTCTGGCGTCCCTTCTGGGCAGTAACTCCCTTCAGGACACTCTCCTGAGAAAGACATGACATTCAGGGCTTGAAATAACCACCTGCACATGCAGGTTAATGTAGGTAAAATTGGAGAGTGTTGAATTTTTGTGATATTATACCTCCAATGCCAGTATGGTTACCATACAGGTTAATGCAGGTAAAATTGGAGAGTGTTGAAGCGATACCATACCTCCAATGCCAGTGTGGTTGCCATTGGGAGTTGCGGTGTCGACGCCCCACTGACAGAAGTACCCTGGTGCACACATCCCTGTGACATTAGTGGCACCACTCTCACTACAGAATCGCCCCCCATCACACTGGGTACACTCACTGGCTGCTGCAAGCATCTCCACAGGGCCGTATGTACCTAATGGACAGAAATAACATCACAATTATCATAAAACACAAAGGTGTTCTTGTCCTACTTAAATAGTGCCAGGGTGTGCTGTAAAAATGATGCATGTAATTTTGCAGAAAGTTGGCCTTGGAGTCTATTGGCTGGGTGAAAGGAGGAAAATACAGATTGAGGTAGACAGAAAAATTCCAAATCATAATCTCAAGGAAGAAGACGAAATTACAAATACTGCTAACTTTCCTTTCTAAAGCTGTATATATAATATATATATGAAGAGTTCATACCTTTGGGACAGTTCTTCCAGTCAAATCCAGTTCCATTTGGACAGTAGTGACCGGCAGGACAGGGGTTAGCTACATGTCCCCTCACACAGTAGTATCCAGCTGGACATGTGTCACAGACTTCAGCCTGGCTGTGGTTCATGTAAGTACCTATACAAAAACATCACAAGAAAATGTACTTTTTGATAATGCTTGACTAAGAATGTCCTCAGTCTTCAATCATTATGATCTACCATGTTTGTGACTTGGTCTTTAGTCATTACTCACCATCATCACAGGGTACAGGCTGGGCAGACCCAGTGGGGCAGTAGTGGCCGGCTGGACACACGTCTCCTGTCCCTCCGTCTGTGGGTGTGGCCGTCCACGCACCACTGCTACAGTAGAACCCTGCCTCACAGTCATCTGGATACAAACATCACAGTCAGATAGACTACAATTTTTGATTTTTGGGAATAGCTGCACTAGTGCACATAAAAATTAAGGTACACAGCTTGAAGTAACTTTGGGTGCACAACATTAAAAATAAGTACAACGTCAGCAAAACCTAATTAGATCTTACTGCCACTCTTAAGAGCTACTCTTCATAGCTTGAACCTGAAATTCCGTAGCTGATTTCAACATATAACACAGTAAAGGTTTTTTCCGACACTTAACCATATTATCAAAAATATTCTGTATATTATATATTAAGTGTATACAATACGTAATATGTAACCCTTCAGAATACATGTATCTTGGTGCACTGTTCCACCCACAGTCAAAAATTAGGTTTTGGGGACACAAAAGTGCACAAATATGTACCCTGTATTTCTAGCCCATCACCTTGTTTGGGAAATAGTGTCTATAGCATACGCAACAGAAGATGAGCCTGACCTGTGACATTGCTCTGTCCCTGTCTCTCACAGTACTTCCCTCCGGTGCAGTTCAGACAATCCGTTAGTTCATCCATCCCGGTGTCGGGTAGGAAGGTTCCCCTAGGACAGGGGACAGGCTCCCCTGTACCCTGGGGACAGTAGTGGCCGGGGGTGCAGTAGTCTCCATAGGACTGCAGCACAGGGTTGGGAGTGATGGCAGCCAGGCTACAGTAGTGACCTGCAGCACACTCATCTGTGGGCTCAGTCAGCCCTGCAAGGACACAAACACATCAGGGTCAAGAAATCTCTAACCTTAACCTCTAATCTTAGGGAAGTAGAGTAGACTTTTTGTGCACAACCAAAGAGAGTCTGATATACTACTGTAACAATGAGCCTAAATGTAACCATACAGGCAGAGAGCTTGCTGTGACAAGCCTTACTCACTTTCTACCAGCTTTTCCATACCCTGAGTGAAACAGTGATAGCCTGGAGTACAGGCTGCCCTTACCCTGAGTGAGACAGTGATAGCCTGGGGTACAGGCTGCCCTTACCCTGAGTGAGACAGTGATAGCCTGGGGTACAGGCTGCCCATACCCTGAGTGAGACAGTGATAGCCTGGGGTACAGGCTGCCCTTACCCTGAGTGAGACAGTGATAGCCTGGAGTGCAGGCTGCCCTTACCCTGAGTGAGACAGTGATAGCCTGGGGTACAGGCAGCACACTCGCTGACATTGTGCAGTCCAGTCCTGTTACTGAAGGTTCCCTGGGGACACTTGGTCTCCTGGTGAGACCCTCTGGGACAGTATGACCCCTCCGGACAGATGTAACCTGTAGTCCCATCCTCAGGCTGGGAGGTGTTTGAAGCTGACACACACACGTAGCCTGCATCACACAATGCTGTGTACTCCGTCAGACCTGTACAGGAAGCAATCAAAGGTAACTACAGGGTCTACAGTTACTACAGGATCTACAGTCATGTCTGCGTTACATTTGACGGAGGTTGCGTTAGCGGCGCGATACTGGTGCGCCGTCGTCGCGATAACGTCGCGACGATATCGCGATGATACCGCGTTACGGTAACGCAGTTTGTATGGCCGGAGCCTCATAGGTAGCTCCGCGTCACCCGCGTTATTTCTCGAGTGATCGGTCGCGTTATCCATTCATATGCACGGGGGGCGTCATGAGTTGATTAGTCCCCGCCTACACAGCGTGTCGAAGTAACCAATTATTTTCAGCTATTCCCGTGTTTTCGGTACTGAAATAAGCATATTCATACCTGATTTTTTTTGTAGGTTTTACTGACGTTTGTCAAAATCAAGACGTTTAATGTTACAGATAAGATAAGGTAGGATAAGAGAACTTTGAAAACGTAAGTTTTAGAGCACACTAATACGTGTGCCCCGATCAGCAAAGCCACGCGGACCGACCGGGAAATTCGGTAGCGGAATACACATTTGCTTACGGGGAGGAAAGGCAACAGACATTTTGTTTTCAAAACTCGAATGCGAAATATAAGTATTGAACAAACATCTCATGAATAATTGCATCCACAGAATCAAAACAATAGTTTCGAATGTTGAGTCAAATCAGAAGTATTGAGGAATGGACTACTAATGACGATAATTAAAGTCAAAATTCACACAAATCTCGCGATAGATACTGCGCGCGGCGGCGCAAGCCTGTCAAAATTGATTGATGAACTCCGACCCAAACGCCAACAGGGCGGTCGGAGTTTCAGATCAAAGGCGGCACAACCTAGCCCGGCACTTTACTTATCCTAATATTGTCCTTGGCTACACTCACTTTTTCGGTAAAAATACGTCTAACCAAGGTCCTTTGTTGCTGTAAATTTTACCGACAGCGTCACGCTGAAGGGTATATGAAAACGATCCCAGCAAAAGACAGGGCTTTTATATTTTTCCAAGATTGACGCCACTGACGTATGTGGAAAATGATTTTGGCAAAAAAAGATGACAATTTATATACCGGGAACAAGCACATTATACCAGTACTATACCACCAGACCGTACTCGAATCACGCACCGGCGACATGTCCGGACATAAATGCTTGATACACGTGTATCTTATCTTATCCCTGACTGTATATTTGCATTACCTTGAGTTACTAGAGTCGTTTGTGTCACTTTACTGTTGCAATCGTAAATAATGCTTTGCTGGAATTTTTGCAGAAAAAATAGCTCGCTTCAAATGCTATCTTATTGAAATCTCGAGTAAGCGCATATTATTTGAAAATAGTCTGACTTGTTTCTTTGTTTGGTGAGCAAAGAAGAGCCACGTGATTTTTTTCGACGTTCGGTAAATCAGATCTCCATGTGAACCAGTAAAATCATGTGTAAAACGTTTAACTAGTCTTCTAATTTTAACCACAGATGTCTGTTGTTGTTACCATTATGGTCTACTAAAGTGCAACACTTTAGAAAATCCGTAATTTATGCAGTATTGTTATGCACGGTGAAGCACGCCGGTACATTGTTTGCTAATTAGCGGGATTAATCCCAAAGGGCGGCCGTGAACAGAACTATTCCAGTCGAAGCCCGACCCGGGCCGGGAGCTTGGCAGATCAGCGCAGCCCGCCTGCCAGCCCCGCACCGCCGGCGGTATAATGGGTCAAAGGTCATTGAAGTACGTTTCAAAACGACGTTTCGGAACGTAGACATGCTGGAGCATGCTTTGGTACTTTTTGTACCATTTCTGAAAGCAGCGCTTCGTACCGGCCATATTTACTTGAAACTGAATATGATTACATACCCATCGCCCTTTTTCCTGAGTCAGATCGTCTCCGTGAGTTAAAGTAGTTGTACTGTTGTACTCAGTTTCTCAACCATGTCCCTGGAAGCCTGGACAAACTTTCGCGCCAAAGATAGGTCTGGATTTTTGGTTTTGTATGTGCGGTCCAATACCCTCTGTATTACTAGTAACTGAAAACAACACTACGATGGCCATCAAATTAATTTCTATTACACCAAGGACATAATGTCCTTGATTACACTATTTTTTTTGTGTGTACCCTGTCCAGTGTATTATATTGCCGATCCATGAAGGTCGTTGGTTACATCAATTTCAACAGCTTTGTAACAATTTTTGGCTAGCAATGTGCTGCATAGTAATTGGAAAAAAGGTGCCTAAGCTTAATTTCGTTCCCCGCATCCGTTTGCTAGGACTAGGGCTAAATCATTAGGAAATTTAGCAAGGTGCGACGGCTGGAGATGTGAAAATATATATTTCGTATAAATATTTTAATTATTTCCGTGACATTTTTTTCAGGTTCATCCTCTTTGTGATCGAGTTACGAGACTGTGCTGTGCGCAACATTTGCTGACTTTGCAGGATTAACAGGATTACTTTCATTTTTTCTCATTTGTTCAATGTTGACGTTCGGTTGTTGACTAGCAAGTTTTTTTCCGTTTGGTTTGACGTTCGGTTGTTGACTAGATTTTTTATTTCATTTTGACGTTAGTTTGTTGACACCGATTTGTTATGTATTTGTTACGTTTTTGTATTATCTATTCCATATAAGTTTTTACTAACGAAACTTTACTACTAGTAACTGGCTTTCGCACAACTAACAATTTCATAACATTGAAGCTCGAAACGATGTTAACGATATTCTTAAGTATGATACATACAAGAAACGAAAAAAGCTATACATAGGACACGTCGGACAAATGAACTAGAAGATTGTAAACTGGTCACTGCTGAACCTGACCCCACGTGGAAGCGCCCCAGAGGTCGTCCCAGAAGGCGATGGGAGGATCCGCCCTTCGACTTCCTGAGGAGAGTGGGCGTCACCAAGGACTCCTGGAGAATCCTCGCTGCTGATAGAAGCCTCTGGAGACAGCTGTCTACGACCGCCATGCTTCTACCCTGAAGCCCGCGGAGGATTGATTGATTGATTGATTGTAAAAAAAGTTTTTAAATATCTATCAAACGGTACACATTGTACTAGAAGTGATTCATGTATGTGATCTTTACAAAAAAATCCTTACACGTAACCCATACTTTTATTTATCTGCATCCGTTACTACCTTTCGGAATTTCCACCTCAAAGTAGCCTAGTACATGTGAAAATGCCAGCAGACCGGACTGGGAATAACTTTGGGGGCTTCTCACGTCTTCTTCGTTTTGCGATATTCATTTCAGGTGTGAAGTTCCAATATCACGTTGAAGTGCCAATTACCTTGTCAATTTGCATAATGCTTGGACCTTTGTTTTGGTTTCGGTCTGAAAATTAATGACAGTATTCTTGACCAAAGAGGGTTAAATACGACAGCTATCCAGATGGTATTAGGTTATGCCGCACCCATATATTTTAACATTTTGAAACATTTCGTAGCCGAATTCACCGAACACTAACCGACCAAGCCAACCTACACATATAAAGCATGATTGCGGGGAGTTCGGGAATTCGTGAATGTGTGACAGGGGCTCTACAGCTCACCCGTAGCCTATAATATCACACTAGAATCCTGAAAATCTTGTGTTGTAACCTTTACCTTGTTCCATCCTCATGCCAGAGGTCCGAGACTTGCTGACGATGACTCGCGACGTTACAAGTTTTTCTACTTCCAACTGTCCATAACGTTGAAAAAAAAAACTCGCAAGCAATTGCAACAACTTCCCCATGCGGGACCGTTCGGCTAAGATGTACACCACACCACACCAGCTCCCTTTCAGCGGTCTCTCTCTCTCTCTCTCGGACGCCATGAACCAACGTTTTACAAGTCAACAGTTGCCTATGATGACATACTTGAATCCTACATATTATGCCATATTACAGAAAACTTTTCAAGGGATTAAGACGTTGTCGGCTTTAGAAAACAACACGGAACTACAATTTCTGCAAAAAAAAGGTCAACAGGCGTGCTCATGCCATGTAATGAAACCTGCTCCATCAGTATTTCAGTTCGGTCGTCAATTTCAAGTACCTTTATATACAAGTCATCCTTTCCCTATAATATACTTGTATGCTACTAACCATGCCATATTACAGAAAGCGTTTTCAGGGGCATGAGGTGTTCTCGGTTTTGGAAAACAACACGAAACCATCAATTTTCATATAAGGCAGGACGTCAATGGACGTTTTCATGCGCTGTGAATGAAACCCGCGCTGTCCATATTTCGGTTCGGACGCCATATACCAAAGTTTTACAAGTCAACAGTTACCTATGATGACATACTAAAATCCTATATATGCATATTACAGAAATACTTTTTTATGGACGTTAGGCGTTTTCGGTTTCAGAAAACAACACGGAACTAAAATTTTAGCAAAAAAATTTCAACAGGTGTGCTCATGCCATGTATGAAACCAGCGCTGTCAACATTTCGGTTCGGTCGTCAATTTCAAGCACATTTCAAGTCATCCTTTGCCTATAATATATAACTAGTAATTGTTTGCTACTTACCATGCCATACTACAGACAGCCTTTCCAAGGGCATAAGGTGTTTTGGAAAACAACACGGAACTAGTTTGTTTGCAAAAAGGCTGTTCAATAGGCGTATTCATACGATACAGCCGTCAATATTTCAGTTCGGACATCATTTACAAGCACATTACAAGTCACCCGTTGCCTATAATAATATACTAACTTCCTACTTACCATGTCATATTACAGAAAGCTTTGTAAGGCCCTACGGCGTTGTCGGTTTGAGAAAACAACACGGAACTTTCATTTTTACAAAAAAGGCTATTCAACACGTTTTCGTACGCGTTCCATGAAACCCACGCTGGCAATATTTTTGTTCCGATGTTCGGATTTTATTTCCAAACAGTCTATAACTTCAGCCAACTTTATTATGCAAGAATTTCGTATAGCTTTTCATGCTACAACAATTCCTATTTTTCTATCAATGTGTCTTTAACTTCAGAAAAATACACGGAACCATCAACTTTCCAATGTGAGACCATTTATCCTACAAAACTGTTCCGGCGCGCGTATTCATTCCGTTCGCATTGCGGGATATACATGTAAAGCTTCCTATTTCTAGTCTTTTCTTTTCAAATCCTCCACACACCATCCATTTAACAACGATTTACTAGAATGCTATATATCTTGTCATGCTAGACCAAGGTTTTTGAGGGGTCCACAGTGTTCTCAGTTTAAGAAAACAACACGAAACCATCAATTTTCAAACAAAAGGCAGGTCAATGGATGTTTTCATGCTGTGAATGAAACCCGCACTGTCAATATTCCGGTTCGACATCATTTACAGACGCATTACAAGTCACACGTTGTCTATCATTATATACCACAATACCATGCCATATTACAGAATGCTTCTTTCGAGGGTCTGAGGAACCGCTGTTCCTGCCTTTAGAAATCAACACGGAACCATCACTTTTGCGAAGAAGAAATGTCGACGTCAACAGACGTCGACATTTTCAGTACGTGTTCTATAAACCAGAGCTGTCAATATTTTCTTCTGATTATATTTTCAAACGCTCTACAATACCCCCGTATTTCATCGTACTAGAATCATGTTTATCTTTCGATAGTAGAATATGTTTTTTGCTACTGCCAGCTGTATTCTTAACTTCAGAAAACACACGGACTCATCAACTTTCCAGTATGAGACCGTTCATTCAGGGAACGTGTTCCGGCCCATTGCCCTTTCCATTGCGCTGCATGCATGTGAATCTTCCTACTTCTAGTCTTTTTTAAAATCCTCCACACCATCCGTTTTAAACGATTTACTAGAGTACTATTATTGCCATATCAAAAGAAGGCTTCTTGAAAAGTCCTAAAATGGTCTCGGTTTAATAAAACAACACGGAACTATTGAAATGTCTATTGAAGACGAACGTTTCCTTACGTGTTCTACTAAACCCGCGCTGCGAATGCTTCAGTTTGGACGGAAATTTTAAACGCTTTGCAACTCACCCTTAGCGTGAAATATAACACTAAAATTCTGTTTATCTATTGATGGTACAACAAGTTTTACATCCCCCTACAATGTTGTGAACTTTAGTAAGCAACACGGAACCATAAATTTTCCAATACGAGACCATTTGGAATACAAATCTATCAGGACGTCAATTCAACTGCGCTGCCAATATTTTTATATAGACGTCATTTTCTTTCCTCCACAAAATACTCTTTCTTTTCTTTCTATATACTAGGATGTTATATTTCTTGTATAACAATATGCATTTATAGGGATCTGTCGTGTTCTCAGTTTTCAAAAATGATACGGAACTCTCGATTTTCCGATGAAAGGCAATTCAATAGACGCTCCCAATGCATTGTATCAAATCTGCGTTATCATTATTTCAGATCGTACGTTATTTTCAAACGTTCTACAACTTACCCCCTGTCTGTAATGTTATACACTCTGACATATTACAGAAAGCATTTCCAACAATCTTAAGTGTGACGGCTTTAGAAAACACCACGGAACTATTGATATCCCAACAAACTACTGTTTAACGGCGTTTTCTTCACATGTTCATGTGTCAATATTTTTGTTTGAACATCAAACACAATACACCTCACCCTTAGCTGAAAATGTGATACAAGATTATACGTCGGACAAACGTGCGCCATATGTCTTGAACTGACATCTTTTGCCAAGTTGGACAACCTTCCAGCAGACAAAGTCACACTACCGGTATAATGTAGTTAGACCATCGTTTACTTCGTGATCGTCCTTTTGGTATTGTCTATGGTGAGTAAACAGTTACTATATTCCTCAATATCTTATCGTCCCGTTGCAAATCTTTAAAAACATTTCCCAACAATTCCCTCGTTTTCTTTGATAAAATATAATAGCACTTACTCGTCAATCACATTAACTATGTACGTATCCTAAAATATCCATGAACTGATACATATTAGTATTAGCTTTAATGATATGAGCAAGGACATAATGTCCTTGATATGAGTTATTAGTTGTACGAAATCAGTTAGTAAAGTGTGGTTAGAAAAAACTTCAATGGAATTGAGAAGACCAAAACGTAATAATAACATATCAAACTGAGTCAACAGACGTCAACAAACGAACGTCTAAACTGGGGAACTTCAATCTACTTCAAACGATAAAAAAACGTAGTCAACGACGTAACGTCAACACGAAAGAAAAACTCCGAACGTAAAAACGAAAGAAAAAGAACTTTACTAGTCAACAAACGAAGTTCAACGTCAAAACCAAACGGAACTTTTAGTCAATAACCGAACGTCAAAACTAAAGAAAAAACTTGAATGTAATCCTGTTTATCCTTCAAAGTCCGCACATGTTTCACGCAGCACAGTCTCGTAACTCAATCAAAGACTAGAGGATGAACCTGAAAACACATCAAAAGAACATTTAAATATTGCAAAAAAAAGAGAAGTATTTTGTCAGGGGCGGGACTGATACAGCTTCGCCATTTCGTTTATTGACTGAACTGTTGGGTTATTTAGAGATTGAATCGTGAAATTTGGCGCTTTCATTTGCAAAATAGTTAATTAACAACATCGTAGTGGCACGGATGGGCGAATGGATTAGTGTTTATTTCACACCTTTTGTTCATTGTTGGCCGAATAGCCTATTATCTGTTTCGTTTACAATACACATTATGCGACCTTATCCCAGAAATGCTTAGCCCATTCAACGAAGAAAAGTCACGTGTAGAAAAATGTCGCTGAAACTCACAATCAAGGAGTCATATGACAAGTAACGTTACCCGCCATCTTATAAATATGTACTCAGAGCCGCTGCAACTCCGCGCCGTCAATATATGCGTGTACAGCGTGAAATCTCAGCATGCATAGCAGAAATACAGACGATCTGGTCAGATTCATGATACAGCTCTGGATTCTTTATCTGCGTGATGTTGTGAATCCACCAGCGTGAGAATTTCTGGTGAAACGAGTTTGCTACATTCAAACTGGCCGCCGCCGCCTTTGATCTAAGTTGTGTCGGGCGGGCGTCATCAATCAATGTTGACAGGTCTGTCGCGCCAAGCTGTCTGACTCTAAGGAGAAAAGATCTCCTGTGTTACACCAGGGAGGTTCCTTTTAACTCCATGGTTACATACACGAATTCAAAATTTCGAAAAATTACTATGATCAAAAATTTTATTTTATTTCTTGTTTTCCAACAAGTTGTTGATTTTGTGCCAAGTGCAAGGGACTGCAGTCAATCATGTGATGTTTACCATTACCATAATCGTGATCTTTCCTCCCCTTTAGAAAATTGCTAGTGAAGCTCGGCAAATCTCGTGAGCATACCAAACACAATCATTCGCTGACGACAAGAACCGAAAAGAAACGAATGTAAAACAAAGATCATTTCGTCAGCCGAATACACACACAAACAGTCCTCTCCGCGCACTCTCTACAGACTGGTAGCGATTCGACAAAGTACCCCAGAGCTTACCGAGTCGGTAAACAAGACAGCTCCTTTACAAGATCCATTTCGCTGGCGGGGTATATCCTAAGCTTTTGACAATTCAATTTTGGTTCAACTTGCTGAATTATGCGTTCTATGGTTAAAAAAAATCATCGACAACATGCGCCGGCTCATTACGCTTTTGACTGCACAAGTAAGATTCCGGGCCGCCGGGGCAACACCAAATATTGTCTGACCTTGCGGTGTGGAAAACTAGCGGAGGAGGAGTTGCTATATTTTGTTTGCGACATGTTAGGGTGAAGTGTAGTTGAAATTATTGTTGCTATATCTAACGTATTTTTGGGGCGTTACATGTTTAGACAGGCTGATGAATAACCTCATTGGAAATGCCTCAAACCATTTTTTTTACATCCATGCTCAAACCAAGGACGTGCTCAAACTAATTCCTGCCATCCAATTCTAACGCTTATGCATGACTATGACCGCTAAAAGGAGGCCATAACACCCAGTATTGTTTCTAAATTTAAATGACAAAGTAGACAAACAAACATGAAACCCTATCCTGCTCATTATAGTTGCGTCAATAGCGCGATGGCGCACTCGGTAGCAGGTTAAATAACACTGTAACGCATTCGTGCGGCCGGGGGTCAATTACCGCAAGTTGCGTTATCGCGTTGCGACAGCGTTGCCGCTGCGTTGCGTCAGCGTTATCGCTGCGTTGCGACAGCGTTGCGTTATCTAAGTCCGTCAAATGTAACGCAAACATGACTGTACTGTATATGTTGCATGTACAGTATGATAGACAGGTATCAAAATTAGCAGGAGACAATTTCACCAAGATAAGATTTTCTTTGAAAAGAAATGATGTATTTCTTCTGATAAGTGTTTGTGTATTTGATCTGAGATACATTTAAGTATAACTGTGCTTTTCAGCACTTAATTTTTTATATTTAAAGACAAGGCTCGTGGTATAGTCATTCTTTGTTTTGCAGGTTCTGACCTGGAGCGTCACAGTAAGTCCCTCCGGGGCAGGGGAGGCACTGGTCCTCTTGCTCCAGGTTGGTCGTGTTGCTATAGTAACCATCAGGACAGGGGTGTTGGTGGCGGGAGGCTGTGTCCTGTAGGCAGTAGTACCCAGCAGGACAGTCTACTGGTGCGATGACTCCATGGCTCAGAACACCATACAGGGCTGCTGCCTCCACAGGGTCACAGTACCTGCACCACACAGGGCATGGTCAGGACATTTTACTAAGATTCTACATGTTTTTTATGTTTCATGATCAAAGGATCTTTATAAGCACATTACATGCTTTCTGTCCAACGTTCACAAATCTATGTGAATAAAAAAATTTTGAAAAATTACTAAAGGTGAAAGTGATATTAAACAAACTTGATGAACAGTTGAGCTTCTCTTCCACTGGTTATCACATTTTACAGTGTGCAGTATTTTATTTTAAGTTCATGGTGACCTCCAAAAATTGCACGGTGATCAAGAGGACACCAGTTGTATCGCTACTGAAATGTCCAGGCTTTTGATCTCACAGTCTTTGGACAAGCCATCGTCCTGTTGTTTGATGCTAATTTTAATGGACTTTTATTTTTAAACATTTTAAAACACCAACAAGTAGATATAAAACACTGGACACTGTAGGAAGTGTACTGACCTGCCGGGAGGACAGTTCTTACAGTCATCTGCCCCTTCTTCATCCTGGTACTGTCCAGCTGGGCATGGCTCGGGGTCCGGACTGCCCTCGGGACAGAAGTGACCACGGGTACAATTGTACTGGTCAGGTGTTGAGGTTTTCTGACCGGCAGGGCAGTAATACCCGGCAGAACACAGCTCTGTGGCATTCACATTGGCTGGACCTTCACAGTAGTAACCAGGTGTGCACGGGGAACAGTCACCTTCTTCAGTATTACCTGTTCACACACATCAACAAGGTAAGGAAGGAAACAATCATGATAAATATTTTTCTGTTTCAGGTGACATTTTTCAGAAACTGCAACAACCTTTGATGAAGTTGCCACCAAAAAGAGTAGTACTCATTTTACTACATATATCTGGTTCAGAAAATTTCCTCTGAGATGGGACGTACAGCCAGGGGGCACGTGTTTGAGGAAGGCCACGCTTTCAAACTTTACAGTGGCTTTGGGTCTTGAAAAGGAAATAGTTATCTGTTATGTCAATCCTTACAGAAATGTGGCACAACTGTTACGGTAAATAAGTAACAAAACAAGTCCCACCTGACATGTTGGAGAATGTGCCTGCAGGGCAGGGTTGAGGGGTGGCTGAGCCTTGCACACAGAAGTGACCTGGTACACACACACGGTCTGCAGGGTCAGGCTCAGACATACCACCATCGCAGTAATAACCTGGGAGGACACAAGAAAATAGAGTTTTGAAATACCATGAAAAGCACTTCAAAATGTCTGACTGTTGACGTACCTCTTTAAAAAGGTTGCAGACTAAGATAACCTTCAATTCGTTTTTTTTTTCATTGCAGCAAAATGTAACATTTAAAACAACACTGTTTAATTCTAGTACTGTGCACAGAAAGCTAAAAGCAAAATGTTCCAAAATGGCAACATTTTCCATATAACTGCAGGTGTTGTTTGTCAGTCAGGTTAGTGTGCTATCGTGTTGAAACGTGGATACATACCTGCATCACAAGGTCCATTTGGTGTCTCCCTGCCATAACCCATACAGTAGGAGCCTTCATCACAGGACACTGGGTAGGGAGAACCACTGGGGCAGTACGTACCTGGCCAGCACTTCCCACCTGAGGAAAATTACAGAACATTAACATACAAATGTACAATGTAGGCTGATGTTCTAGCCAGTTCATTGGATGCCTAAGTATCACATTTGTTGTAGGTTGCTGTGCAATTTTTTGTACAATTTTGAAGCCACAAAATGACAGAGCCAACAACTGACACGACAGCTTTTCTATGATAAGACAGCTGAGACTTTGGAGTACCCCCCATGCATGACTGTCCCAAAAATGTCCTCAGTTTGTGATCATATAACCATTACCCCACGTACATTTGTCATGTGACTGGGCCTTTAGTAAGTACTAAATATGCATCATTATAAAACTACAAATCCTAGTCTTATCACATATCTCAAAGCTATCTTTAATTTGACAAAAACTGATCAGGAGATTGAAGACAATCATGAGATCTAGTAGCAATCTTCACAACCTGAGTAGGAATGGATCAATGCCCCACCTGTGTAGTTAACAAGTGGACAGGTGCATTCCGACAGATCTGTGGCATTGCTGTGGGGCAAAGGCTTGTCCAAATAAGAGCCCCCTGTGCAATACCAGCCTGCACTGCAGTTCCCGGTGGGCTGCTCCAGTCCGTCTGTCACACAGTATTGTCCAGCAGGACATGGCAGGCAGTCATCGGAACTGTCGCTGCCATTCACAGGGTTGTAGCTCCCCCTGGGGCAGGGGTTCTCATACGCTGAAGTTGTACCACCAGGACAGTAGTGACCTGAGGAAAATCATCGTTGCATTATACATTGCTAAAAACATTAATCATTCGTGGAGTAGGATAGTAATGTATTTACACTCAATGGCTACAGTTGACAAAAGGTCACTGCATATATAGAGAAAATAACTATTAAACACTGATGTAATGTTGCAAAATGTGTTTGTTCCCCACATTGTTTTCCTGTCTACATCACAAGTTCCCCATTGCTAATCACACTTAAGACATTGGAAATGTGACAACATGACTTCACCTGTTGGACAGAGTGTTTCTGTGAATGATGTGGAGTTGTCTGGACAGTAGTAGCCGGGTTCACACTGGGAGCAGCTTCCCTGTCCCTCCAGCTCTGTGTACTGCCCGGCTGGACAGCCCAGCGGTGACGCACTGCCCTCTGGACAGTAGTGACCAGCTGGACAGATGGCGCCATGACCGGTGTGGTTTCCTGTAGGTTTGTCCAGGTTGACTCCGGACTCACAGTAGTAGCCTGCAGCGCAGGGCCCGGTGTAGGAGTCTCTGCCTGGCAGCTGACAGTACTTCCCTGGGTCACAGTCTGTGCACTGGTCCACAGAGCTGAGTAAGGTGCGTGGGTTGTAGGTCCCGGCTGGACACAGCTGCAGGTCAGCGCCTGTCCTGGCTGGACAGTAGTAGCCAGGAGGACAGGGGTCTGCTCGGTCACCATTAACACAGTAGTACCCTGATGGAAAGTGGAACTCTGTTAGAAATCATCACTGACAACTCAGTTATCACCACTAAATCTTAATTCTGACCATATTTTTGTATCAGAACAAAGTTAACAGAGACACAAACCTGCAACTTACAAAAGTAGGTACCCAAACAATACCCCTGTGCCAACACAAGTAACTACACAATTTGACAATTACAAAGATCATTTGTACCTTCAGGACAATCATAGCACTCCTCAGCCATGGTGTGGTTCATGTAGGTCCCGTTGTTGCAGCTGTAGTGTTCAGGAGAACCCTCGGGACAGTGGGAGCCAGCAGGACAGATATCTCCTGTCACTCCGTCCTGTGGGGTGGAGGTGTTCGCCCCTCCCAGGCAGAAAAACCCAGGCTGACAGAAACCTGCAACAGAAATACAATTTGAGTGCCTATCAGTTTAACATAGCTACTGGCTCTACAGCAGTAAGAAACCCTGATGATCTTTGAGAGACACTGTAAATCGTGAATATGTTCCCATATGGTAACAGAATGATTTTTCACACTTTGTAAACAAGAAATTGGAGATTTCAATCGCCACGGAAGTACAATTTTACAGTTTTATGAATTTACTGGAGCAACCAAAGAGATGGCCTGCATGAGATACTTTCAGCAGTCCTACATGTATGACAGTAGAACCTTGACAGAAACCTTGTTGGGAACAAACCCTGAGTGGGGCTTGTGTGGGTGGAACCATGACTTCCTTCCAAGTTGATATTAAGTTCAATCTGTGATAACCATCCCTCTTCCCATTCATTCAAATACCTACAAACACAAGCAAACACACAAAAACACCACACACACACTCAAAACAATACCTCCATACTCGGAAGTAATAACACCCACCAGTTTCTGCAGTGAGGCCTGTTTGATTGCAGTACTTCCCAGGACCACAGGGGAGACAGTCTGTCAGGTCATCCCTCTGCTCATCAGGTTGGTAGGTCCCCGCAGGACAGTGTAGGGGCTGGGCACTTCCCTCAGGACAGTAGTGACCAGCGGGGCAAATGTCACCGTATGTCTCATTGACTGGGTTGGGGTTAATGGCCTTCAAGGTGCAATAGTGACCTACGTGATAACAAGTCAGTGTCACTGAACAGCACCATACTACAAGGTTAAATCCAAGTAAAAGGTTCACATGGTTCTAATGCAATATAAAACAGCTTCTACATACTACAGCACTACCAAAAGATCACAAGAAATTACATCTTAAGACATATGTCATAGTACCTGGGGGTGCCGCACTAGAGATCTCCTAAATATAGAGTTTTACAAAGTGACTGAGGTACAATTGTCATTGTACTGAAACAATACTGCATGCCACATAGGCTAGAATGAATACAAGAAAACAGAATATATTTCAACATCCGTTACCTGCTAGACAGGAGCCATTGGGAGCTGTGAGTCCAGTCTGCATGCAGAAGTCTCCTGGTGGACAGTCTGTACAGTTACTCAGCGAGGGCAGTTTGTCACGATGTCCGTATGTGCCCTTAGGACAGGGCGTTGGCCAAGATGAACCCTCGTCACAATAGGTACCTACAGCACAAGTACACATGTATAACAGAATACTGATATTTACTTTTCAGGGTGATCAGCTGGCAAATTAAAAAATAATTTGCATAATTTGTATGAGCCAACGTCCATCCTTACATCAAAGCCCTAACAATATAAAAGTGTGGTCATATTCATCATTGGTAATACCGTTACTGTATTTTCAAGCAGGCTGCAACAGAACTAACTGCTGACAGGGATCTAAGGCACTTTGTAGGCCACATGCATGACTATCCTATGGCTGTCCATAGTTTTTGATCATACGATGATTGCAAGACATATTATGTGACCAGACTCTAACCAGCAAAGCACTGCATGTCACACACCAGCTTTAGACTTAACCTAATATGAAGACATAATCTTAAAGACTTATCTTGCACACCATACATTTGACTGGTAAATTTTGGAAAACCAACTGACCCTGTGGACAAGGTCCTCCCGTGGCGTCGGCAGGTTCAGGAGTAGGTGTGACTGCAGCGAGGACACAGTAGAAGCCGGCGGCACACGTCCCCGTGGGCTGGGTGATGTTCTGTGCCTCGCAGTAGAAGCCCTCCGGACAGGCTCGGCACTCCTCCTGACTCTCCAGGCCGGTCGTGTTGCTGTAGGTGCTGACTGGGCAGGGGAACTGTCGGGCGCTCTCTGTGCCATTCGGACAGTAGAAACCTGCAAGAAGGGCACAGACAGTTAAAGCAGTCCTACGAGTGTTGGCCTCTTTGGAGGAACTGATGCTCTGCGTGTGACACTCGATAGTTCATAACACTTAAAAGAAAATGTTTTGGTATGATTACATTGGACATGTATGTGTGTACACCTGAGTAAGCTGTTTCATGTGGAGAGACTGACTTTCAAGACAAACCATAATGCACCCTTTCTTGAAAATATTCATCTCTTAGAAGCCCTTGAAGGACCAATAACCTTCCTTACGCTTGACCAAGGTACAACAGGTTTCACAATCTGCCTGTTATTTGACAAAAAAGTGAAGAAATAAAATAAAACATTCCTTATTTTCCTTACACTATCGTTGCAGTATTACAGCTAAGTACAGTGTTCCATGTACCTGCAGGACACTCCTTTGGTGTGACTACACCGTGGGTCGAGCTGTTAACCCCACTCTGTTGTTCAGCAATGGCCTCATCCCTGTCACAGTATTTTCCTGCAAAAACAAGAAGACAGAAGTCAAAAAGGGAAATTCAATGCAAAATAATTGCATACAATTCAATACAATGTGTAAATATTGTACATGTATGTATGCAAGACTTGTTGACATGGACAAAATATGGACTACTTCAAAATCATTTGCTTCCTAACCCCGCTAACCTACCTGCAGGACACAGCAGACACCTGCCTCCCCCTGCATCAGGTTGGTACATCCCAGAGGGACATGGATCCTGGCTCCCACTCCCCTGAGGACACTGGTGACCTGGCAGGCAGCGGTTTCCCTCCGGCTGCCGGTCAATGGAGCTCTCCGGACAGAACCAGCCAGCGTCACACTGACCAGCTGGGTCGGGCAGGCCCCAGCCTGGACAGAAGTAGCCCTCCGTACATGGGATACAGTCATTGGCATGGTGGTTGGAGAAGCGGTCGCTGTATGTACCTGTTTTCAAGAGAAATATCATCAATGAAATGATAATAACTTAGTTTGTATGGGCACTTGACTGTGTAAGTTTGTATTACAAAATGTAGGATTCTGGCTACTATGACATTACTAAGAAATTGCCTTTTGTTTTACCAGGAGTACATTTAGACATTTACCTTAAAGTAGGAAATGTCTACTTCTATCATAATATTCTTACTATTTTAAGAAACCCCGAATTATTATCACAATATTGCACCACAAGGCATGGTCACATTCCTCATAGGCCGTCGTACAATTTTGATGTTGCTGAATTTTCTAGCAGGCTGTGGCAGATCCAACTACAAAATGTACCAAGTTGAACAAGGATTAAAGACAGCCTTTTCTGAAAGGAGACAGCTGAATTTTGTACACCACACAACTATCCCAAGAATGCCCTCAGTGTGTGGTTGTATGACTACCAAATGAAAAATGTGACCAGGTTCTAAAACATAACCCTAGCTCTGTGTGCAGGAGTGTTTGGCCATACCTGGTGGACAGGCTAGTGGGTAGTTGCTGGCTGTGGGGCAGTAATGTCCCTGAGGACACACGTCGCCGGTGGTGTCGTTGTACGGCTGGGAGACGATGGTACTACCGTTACAGTAGAAGCCAGCCTGGCAGGGACCGCTGACAGCAGGCAGCTCATCGCTCTCACAGTAGTAGCCAGGGGTGCACGGCGTCGGCCAATCAGAACCCTCAGGACAGAACGTACCAGCACGGCATTTTCCACCAACTGTCTGTGCCGGACAGTTACATGTAGAACCTGTGGGAACAAGTGGTATGTATTATTGTGTAGTCCTCGTGTCAGGCTGAAAGAATATTCTCAACTCTCAGTGGGAATTGGAAAAATTTTGTTTAGTTTTTGACATTGAAGTATGTCTTCTCACATACCAAATATTATCACAAACCATGCATCCAGACCTAAGTAAGTTATGCTGAACACAAATATGTGGAAACAGACACAAACACAGACACATCCAAAACAATACCATGGAGGTAATACAATAAAGCCATCCCCTGACCTGTATCATTCCCCAGTGGCGTGGGTTGTCTCTGCCAGGACCCCAGAGTACAGTACCACCCTGGTGCACACAGTCCTGCAGGCTCAGCCATGCCCATGTCTGGACAGTAGTGACCAGCCAGGCACAGCTGACAGGCACTCATGCTGTTCTGTGCTGTCTGGTTGTTGTAGGTGCCGTTGTTGCAAGGGTATTGCTCTGCAAATTCTGTCTTTGCTGGGCAGTAGTGGCCTAGGAAAAATAGTTTGTCCATAACTGCATGTATGCTAGAACTGATACGAGTCAAGACACACAATTCTTTAACTGTTCCACATCCCAACAAGTTAAATATAATCAAAAAATCTTTCAGAGTCAATCAAGGTTAGATTTAACTTAAAAATCCAAGTATTAAGATACACAAGATAACAGTTACTGAAACAACTGGACAACAAAAGCCTATCCAATCAACTGCAACTATTATCTTGACTTGAATGTATACATACAAGTATGCAAGACAAGTGAAGGATAGGGATGGCACTACTGAGAAAGTTCACCTTTTGGGCACTCCGTATAGTTGGTACTTGTGACTATGCAGTAGTAGCCAGGAGGACAGTCCAGACAGCTGTCACGCTGTTCCGCAGGGCTGTACTCTCCAGCTGGACAGGACGGGGGAGTGCTGGTGCCTGTGGGACAGTAATGGCCAGCAGGACACGGGCCTCCTGTGTCGCTGACTTCTGATGGGCGGGAGCTGTTGGACCCCAGAGTGCAGTAGAAACCGGCTTCACATTCTCCAGTAGGGAACACCAGACCCTGCTGCTCACAGTACCAACCTGGATGATTAAAATGACACAAAAAGGTGAAGATGGAACAAGAAAAAAGAGATCTCAGACTTCTGGAAAGTGTTTTGGGTTTTCCTAAAGTTATTGAAAAAACCAAGGAAATTGTAGGTGTATGATATAACACTTTAATCGGGACTAGGGCAAAAAAACTGTACAGTGTTGGAGGGCTGCACATGCAGTCCTCAGCTTCCTGAATTCCCCCTATTTGACCCCTAATTCATCAAGTTCACCTCATTTCTTGTGTCTTAGCAGTGTCACAAACTTTAAGACAAACCAAAACCATTCAAAAAGCAAGGGTGTACCAAACCCACTGACCAGGGAGACATTGTTGGCAGTCGCTGCTGTCGGTGGCCTGGGTTTTGTTGTTAAAGGTTCCTGCGGGGCAGGGTGGGGGGTTCCCGGTCCCCTGTTCACAGTAATGTCCAGCAGGACAGATCCCGGCATCTCCACTGGCTGCAGAGGTCGGCTCTCTGGAGTCTGAACCACTCGTACAGTAGTGTCCAGCAGCACACAGACCTGAAGGGGAAAATCACAACTGTTACAACATACATGTAGACTACAGTCAGCACTAGATCTAGCAACAAACTTAATCACGATGACTGAGCATTTCAGAAACAGCACTGATGCCACACATGGTCAGATTATGAAATTTAATAAAACATTGTCAAACAATTAAGTAAAAGTGGATGTTTTTATGACTGAAGATGTATTTCATCCTTGATATTTGATTTTAAGGTCTCTATAGAATGTTTCCATATAGTTATTTTAATCAACACAAGTTAACTAGCAATCTACAATCCAAAACACTTGTAACATGTACTGTCAGCAGGGCCATGAGTCCACAAACTAACCTGCAGTAGTGGTTGCATTGAGCCTGTCACAGTAGTGTCCTGGTGTGCACTGCTTACATTCTGTCACGTTACTCAGGCCTGTGTTGTCACTATAGGTGCCCAGAGGACAGGACTGCCAGACATGACCTGTCCCTTCAGGACAGTAGTACCCTGCTGGGCAATCCTGGGGAAACAGATCATCATGATGGAAGTTCAGGACATGGACACAGAACAAATAACTTTCAGGCCTCGCAATACTGGGTGCATGTTTTTCTGTGGGTGCCCCAGTAGACCCAACTATTTTCCTATGTTTACATAATAAATACTATGTAAAGATGTTAAATGTATGCTACTATACAGCATATTCTTGACATCTAACTGTCAGAAAAATAAGAAAATCTCTGTTGTGATATTTTTCATTGGAAATAAAACATTGAGCTTTTGCTGACATTCTATTTAATTCATTTTATATGGTGCACCCAAACAATTTTTCGTGCACCCAATTTTTAGGTTGGGTGCACCAGCGTGCCTATTAAAAAAAAAAGAATTTTGAGCCCTGCCTTTGTACACAGAGGTAATGATTTTTGGCTTTAGTTCAAGGAATTCCAGCATGAATGGAAAGGTGGCCACAGATGTATGAGTACCTGTGGATTGGAGCCAGTAATACAGTAGTGTCCAGGGGTACATAGTAGGCACTCCTCAGTCAGTTCTGTGTCAGTGTATGTGCCTGGTTCACACAGGATCGGCTGTCCGGACCCTGCCGGACAGTAGTGACCAACTGGACACCTGTTGCCTGTTAAAAAGCAGGAAATGTGAAAATGTTACGAATAATTTCATGTATATATTTTGCTATATGTTTGTATATGCATTCAAATAAATATGAGATTGATATACAATGTAGGACCTTACAAGGCTATCTCCCTCAGTGATGTACATATCATACACCAGATAGATCTATAGGCTATTTCTAAAGACTTAATATTTCACATTCTAAATAATACCTTGCAATTAGCCTTTGGGTATGAGTTTGCAAGTAAATTACTCAAATTATTCCTTATTATTACATAGTGCTCTGACAATGTTGTACAAATGATAGATGATGAGTACCTGTTGTGCCATCGGTAGGTTGTGGGTCTGTGGCGTTCCTACTACAGTAGTACCTGGCACTACAGTTTCCCTCGGGCATCGCCATGCCATAGCTGGGGCAGTACTGCCCTGGTTCACAGCCCTGACATTGGGCTTCAGTCCACAGACCTGCAGGAACAAGAAATCAGAGAATCTAGTATGCAATCCTTCATAATGTACAATCAAAAAGAGGGCATTCTTGTGATAGCTGTGCATGTGTCACACTTAGATCCTTGTCGGAAGGTTGATTCTGACACAGCCTGCTTAAAAATCCTACAACATCAAAATCTTACAACAACCTACAGCAATTGTGACTGCACCCTTACCTGTTGTAGGATTGTATGTGCCAGGTGGGCAGGGCATTGTGGTGTTGGTGCCAGCTGGACAGTAGTAGCCAGGTGGGCAGATGTC